AGTTTTGGATGCTTTGGAAAGTTAATATAAATGAGAATTACTTCAGAAATTAAGGCAACCAAGAAAAACACGAATATATGTATTTCCTGACTGAATACTAAATGAAGACCTTTCTTTTGCTCATGGGGTGCTTGAGTAGCAGGTCTAAGAAAATGTAAATTATTATAATCAATCTCTGGACAGTTAAACTTTTTAAAAATTTCTTTTGAATTTTTGGTTTTATAAAATGATTTATTGTAAAGGTCAGTTATTAAGTGACTTTGCAGTAACTGGCCCTGTGCCGTGATGGTGTGGGGCTGCACCATGCAGTTCTGTTTTGAAGAGCTGTTTTAAGGAAACAAGCATCTCTTTCAGGTTTAAAAGCAGCCGCACACATATTCGCAGTGTCTTCACCAAAAATTACAGACAAAATTAGCTGAAGAGACTTCTTTACTTGCGTCATTTAGTTTTACTCACTGATCAACATCTGAAACCAAAAATATAAATAATTAGCTTAACTGTTTCTGTTCTGTTCTTATTAAATAGAGTGAAATATATTTAATTAAATGGCTAAATACTCCAGCCAGCTCGGAGTATAGTCCAACGAGTAAAATGTTGAAACTTGGATTCCAGTCACCTTTGCTGTATTATCTAATAATTTGGACATCAAGTGCTTCTAAAAGTACTAAACTGCATCCTGCAGGTTTCTAAGGTAGGCATATTAAGATGAAAATGAACATTTTGAGCACAGAAACGTATCTTACAAGTCTAGTATCTGATTCAGGGTATTTCAAGACAGGAATGGAGCACACGTTGATTTATCCTCATTGAGATTATGTCTGTCAGCATATTAATATCTACTTAATAAAAGCCAAATAATCAGCTATATAAATTGCAATTGTTTTTTATCATCAATTTCCAAATTTCCTTCTCTCTAGTTGATTTTATCTTCTCATTTAAGTTCAGTAGCTTCAAACTATTTTTGGTCTACTAATGTGACGAACTGAAAAACGTTGTAGTTTATTTTGCAGCTTTGTCAATAATGTGTTGCAGTCCACATTAGACACATTCGGTGAGTGAAATCCAGGAACACATGTGGCTTTCTGGAATGATTGCTTTATAAAATCTGTTTGGAAAATAGTAAGCATCATCTGCTGTGTCCCCAACATGCAGTGGATTTTCCCTAAGAGATTGAAAGGTAAAATTGTCAAGCATACTCTGTTAACAGCCAGTTGTTTTAATTTATTTAATGGAATCAAGTGAATAAGATGCAGCATAATTCAAAGCATTTTGTTTTGATGTCTAAATGAATAACAAATTTGAGTGGTTGAAGACATTTGCATGAAATTGCACCTGGTGCAGTATTTGATATTTATAACTCTCCCCTGCCCGAATGGTTACATTGCATTTTTCTCCCTTCCTTGCCATTCCCTTTAGAAATATCCTAAAGTCTCTCCCTTTTTCTTTTCTTTTCTTTTTTTCCCCCCTATTTCAGCCACGGGACTTTTTTCATATTACTGTAAAGATGTTTGTGTTACTGTTTATAAATTACAATTGTAAATAAACAAGTACAGTTTGCTCAAAACTTTGTTCCTAAAAGTGTCTCTCTGTTCTTTATGTACCCTCCCCCTCAACCCCCCCCCCCCCCGGCTTGTAAACCTTTACCACAAAATTGGAAAGTTAAAGACTATTTCAGTAGAATTTTAAGTGTTCAGTTTGCTGGTTTGTAAAGTTAGCTTCCCATTTTTGTTTATCTAAAAAAAGGAGAGAAAGAAAAGAGGTAACTTTAAAAATAATGATAAATAGTTCTACTTGTAGTGAGTTGGTTACTACCATGAACCATATAACTTTTGTAAATTCATTCCCAGATCATCTTAATACCACCACACTCATGATTGGTCAGGACTTTTCAATGAAAATACATCGAATAACCTAGGCAGTTATGTAGTTTGTCCTCGTTTTCATGGCTCACTGACTACAGAATTGGGATTCACTCAGAGATGTCCATATCTAGGAACATGCCAAGATTACAGAATTCCTAACATTATGGTGAGATTGCCATTGATTTCTTTATTTTAAACATGAGAATATTGAGCCTCAGAGAAACTCAATCCATGAAAAGGGTAGGTACCTCCTCTTTCACCACTCACTGGGAATTATTCCTTTTTAAGGTATACAATTCTGTATACCAAATTTACAAAATTTAGCTACCATTTACAGTGTGTTTTTCTAATAGTAATGATAAATTTATACTGCTAAATAGCCATTTTTTCAGTGGTGGTTTCTACGCATAACTTGTAACTCCTTAGCATGATATTCTAACATATTAAGCTAACTATCTATTAATTAGCAGCTCCATTTGAAATTAACAGTTTGGGGCCGGCACTGTAATGCAATGGCTTTAACTGCTGCCTGGGATGCCCCCATCTGTAGTTCTTACTATTCAGCACTTTTGATTCAGCTTCCTGCCCATGTATCTGGGAGGCAGCAGGTAATGCCCAAGTGCTTGGGTTCCCACCACCTGTTTGGGAACCCTGGTTGGACTTCCCGCCTCCTGGCATCCAGGACCAAAGCTGGCCATTGCAAACATTTGTGGAGTAAACCACTGAATGAATGGGTGGATCTGCCACTCTGCCTTTCAAACAAGTAAGTCTATCAGAAAAAAAGAAACTACAGCTAACATTAGACTTGCAGTTTAAAAATTAAATGGTTTTATCTAAAGACTGTGAACATTTAATTGTGCCCACAGTCACAACTACACACTAGCCAATGCAATAAGGCAAGGAATATTAAAGACAGATTGCTAAGGAAGAAATAAAATGTCCGTATTTGTGGAAAACTGTCTAAATGAATTTGGTAAGATTGAAAGAAGTTCAATATACAAAAATCATGTCTGTATACTAGCAGTGAACAACTAGAAACCACAAATACTCTTATAAATACCTGTTACAGTGCCTTGATACAACAGGCTAAACCTCTGCCTGGTTGCTAGCATCTAACATGGGCACAGGTTCCAGTCCTAGCTGCTGCACTTCAATCCAGCTCCCTGCTAAAAACTTGGGGGATGTCCCTGGGCCCCTGCACCCACGTGGGAGACCTGGCTTTTGGCCATAGAGACCATTTGAGAAATGAACCAGTAGATGGACAATCTCTTTGTCTCTCCTCCTGTCTCTCTACCTTCCAAGTAAAAAAAGCCCCCTCAAAAAAAAAAAAAATTGACAAGGAACAGAACTTTACCGTAGCAGGTAAAGCCACCACCTGCAAAATCAGCATCCCATCTGGGTACCAATTCATAGCCTGGTTGTTCCATTTCTGATCCAGCTCCCTGTTAAACGTGCCTGTGAATGCAGTGGAGGCTAGCCCAAGTGCGTGGGCCTCTGCACCTATGTGGGAGACCTCAAGAAGTTCCTGGCTTCAGCCCAGCCCTACCTGTTGTGATTATTTGGGGAGCAAAGCAGCTGATAGATGATCTCTGTGTCTCTTCTCACTGTATATTATAATTGAATGCTATAATGGCATTCAAATCTTTAATGCCATTTCTAATGTCCGAGACATGAAATTCATATGCAAGATGCGTGTAGAAGAAATCAAAGACCTAAATGAATGCAAATATGCTAAGAGTTAGGATGCCATTTCTTTTTTTTTTTCCAAATGAATCACAGATGTAACATCATTTCCTTCAGAATTCTAGGAACACTTCTTGCTAATATGAAAATAATTCCAAAAGTACATGGAAAATAAATATTAGGAGAATTTCATGGAGTAGAGTATGCTTGCATAGACAAAGCACATCGAACGGCCAGTCTTGTGGTACAGTTGGCTAAGCCACAGCATGTGATGTCATTTTGTATTGGAGTCCCAGCGGCTCCCATTCCAATCCAGGTTATTTATTTATTTATTTATTATTGGAAAGGCAGATATACAGAGTGTCCGATGGCTCACTCCCAAAGTGACCACAATAGCTGGAGCTGATCCAATACGAAGCTTTTTCCGGGTCTCATGTGGGTGCTGGATCCCAAGGCTTTGGGCCACCTTCGACTGCTTTTCCCAGGCCACAAGCAGGGAGCTAGATAGGAAGTGGAGCTGCCAGGGAAGCAGGTCGCCAGGATTAGAACCGGCAACCATATGGGATCCCAGCGCATCCAAGGTAAGGACTTTAACTGCCATGCTATTGCGTCAGGCCCCCAATCCAGTTTCTTGCTAACATTCCTAGGAAGGCAGCAGGCAATGGCCCAAGTACTTGAACTCCTGCCAACCATGTTGGAGACTGGAGTTTCCGGTTCCTGGCTTCTTCCTGGCCCAAACCTGCCTGCTGCAGCCAGTTGAAGAGTGAACCAGCAGATGGAAGATTTCTTCCTCTGGCCCTCAACCTTTCAAACAAATATTTTTTTAAAAAAAGTTTGAAGATTCACACTACAGTTTTGTAAAAAAAAAAAAAAAAACCTGTAGTGATGGGTATTAGTAAAACGTTAGACATAAACCAATGCACAGAAGACAGTAAGTGCACACACACATAATGCATGGTAAATGTTCAAAGAGTCTTCAACGATGCTGGATCAGACATCCATACACAACCATACAGAAATCGACTCAAGTGGATCAGATAACTGGAGGCGGACCTATAAAACGGATGGGAACAAAAATTCCATTCCCCCCCCCCTTTTGTTAGGTTGCTAGTCCTTAGATACAGGAAAAGCATGAAGTAATTATTAAGATGTTACTTCCTGAAATACAAATCAGTAGAATGGAAAGACAAGCTCCATGCTGGGGGGGAATGAAAAATGCTTGCAAGATACATATCTAACAAAGGATTTGTGTTCAGAACATTCAAACTTCCAATATAACAAAGAAAACGGAATTTGAGGAAGCATTTCCTCCTCCCAAAACACACAAAAAGAATGCTCAGTGAACCAGTGAATGGAAGATCTGTCTCTCCTCCTTGTGTTTTCAATAAAAATATATCTTTAGAAAAAGTAAAAAAGATTTCTTAACACGTGTAACATCAGTGAATCTCTTTTTTTTTTAATATGGAACGCTCCATGAATTTGCATGTCATCTTTGCGCAGGGGCGATGCTAATCTCTTTATCATTCCAATTTTAGTATATGTGCTACCGAAGCGAGCACACATCAGTGAATCTCAAAGGCAGAATACCATGTCACTCAAAAATACGTACTGAATAATTCCCTTTATAGTCAAAAAAAGGCCTAAAGAAAAGAGATCAGGGGTTAAGGTTGAGGGAAATGTTTGATTATAAAGGAGCAGAACAAAAGTTTATAGGGTGTTGGAACTATTTTGTATCCAAATGTGATTACAGAAATCTACATTGTATTAAAATTCAAAACTGTAGACTAAAAATCAGGTTTGGGGACAGTACCCTGCCATAGCAGGATAATCCTCTGCCTGTGGCCCTGGTATCCCATGGGCACTGGTTCGTGTCCTGGCTGCTCTACTTCTTGTCCAACTCCCTGCTGATAGCCTGGAAAAGCAGTGGAAGATGCTTGCGCCCCTGAACTTACAAGGGAGAACCAGAAGAGGCTCCTGGCTCTTGGCTTGAGGCCAGCCTAGCTATGGCCATTTTATGGCTGGGTATTCACTGGGAGAACTCTCTCTGCCTCTCTCTCTAACTCTGCCTTTGAAATAAAATTTTAAAATCTTAAAAAAAAAAAAATCAGTTGTGTTAAATGTGAATGAAAGCACTAAAGAACTCACAGGTAAATCCAGGAGCTTACAATGAAAATCTAACATTTGTGATGGGAGGGGGCATTTTCACATTTTTTATTCTTGCAATTTGTGAAGCAGAGCAATAAAGAAAAACTGAGTTAACTTATGAATGTGAAGTGTCTCTCTGTAACCCCAGTGTTTAAAACAGACTTTGACAAGTAGTCATCTCTTATATTCTGAACAATGAAGGAAAACAGGAACAGTGGGGAGTGCCAACGGACCACTTAGAAATGATTGAGTGCCTTATGCTTTGTCGTTCTCACCTTCCGGGATTCCATTTAGGAGTGTCTATTCTTGTTCTGTCTCCTGATTTTCAGCCTCTTGTCTGTCTTCTCTGATTTACATATCCATCTCCCCACTCCAATATGACAAATGAGCCACTGGAGGAATGCAGACAGATGGCGGGGCAACCTACAAGTGCGAGCAGCTACCTCCCTGGAGAGAGTAAGGCCTGGCTGTACATGGTGCTAGAAGGAAATGAAAGACAGAAATTCATCAAAGAAGTGTCCCATCTCTGAGAAGGGACTTAAAGGCACAGAAGTGATTGGGGAACAGAGAAGAACAGGCATAAAGAAGGGTGAGCGAAACTGCTTGAAAGAAAAGCTATTTAAGAGATGAGGTGTTCAGTTTCAGATAGGTAAGTCTGAACTCACATCAAGACATGCACATAAGGCTGCCAGTCTAGGTCCTCCCCATCATGGAAGTTCCAGAAAAAACCACTACTACTATGCTGGTCTCATCACATTCAGAGCTTTGTTGTAGCTACACTGCAGCTAAGTCCTCAGCCCACTCCAGCCTCTACTTAGACCCAGCAACCAGCAACCACACATCTCCTCCTGCATGTTCCACAGGCACTTCAAACATCATGTCACGCTAGGATTAGGACCATAGTCAGGCACAGCCCGAGGTGAGTAAACCTGGAGGTCTAGAGGAAATGAATTTTTTAAAAACACATTCTGAGTGGCCAAAGTCAACAAACCTAAATTTAAAATCTTCCTGTTAAAATGCCACAGTCTGCTGAGCCGTAAAAACAAAACAAAAATAAAACATCATTACTATTTTTCCACCCAACTTTTTGTCATGGAGTTTTCTCTTTTTGAAAGATTTGTTTATTTTTATTGGAAAGGCAGATAGGGAAAAGGAAATACAGAGAGAAAAATCTTCTGTCCACTAGCTCACTTCCCAAGTGACCACAATGACTGGGGCTGAAATGATCCAAAGCCAGGAATGAGGAAGGAGCTTCCTCCAGGTCTGTCATGCAGGTGTAGGTTCCCAAGGCTTTGGGTCATCCTTGACTGCTTTCCCAGGGCACAAGCAGGGAACTGAATGGGATGTGGAGCAGCTAGGACACAAACCAGCACTCTTATAGGATCCTTGTGCATGCAAGGCAAGGATTTAGCTAATAGGTTATTGTGTTGGGCCCCTATCATGAAGTTTGATTTTTAAAAGGATTTATTTATTTTTATTGCAAAGTCAGATATACAGAGAGGAGGAAGGGCAGAGAGGAAGATCGTCCTTCTGATTCACTCCCCAAGTGACTGCAATTGCTGGTGCTGCGCCAATCCAAAGACAGGAACCAGGAACTTCCTCCAGGTCTCCCACGCGGGCGCAGGGTCCCAAAGCTTTCGGCCATCCTTGACTGCTTTCCCGGGCCACAAGCAGGGAGCTGGATGGGAAGTGGAGCTGCCAGGACTAGTACCGGTGTCCATATGGGATCCCAGCGCTTTAAGGAGAAGCCTTTAGCCAGTAGGCCACCAGGCCAGGCCCAGAGTTTTTAAAGGTAAAACTTAGACACAATTTTAAACAGGAAGAAAAGCTATGTATTCTCATCTTGAATTTAATCATTAACATTTTGCTATATTTGCCTTTTCTGTGTATAATAAACGTTTTTGTGTGCTGAGCATTTTCAAGTCAGCTGAGCATTTTGACATTTAATCTAAGTATTTTCATCTGCATGTCCTAAGTATTGAGACACTAGTATAGTCATATCATGTCACATACACAGGACAATGTATAAAGAAAACATCTACTAGCCAGTGCAATTCAAGTACCTCAAATTGTCACCAAAACACTTTGATACTGTTTTTAAAATCAGGGTCTATTGTAATATGAATTATTACAGGGAATTTAAAAGCACCAGTGTAAAAGTTTAATTTTTTTAACCGATAAATCTAATAAGGCATTAAGAATACAAAAATCAAAAAGCAATCTAATAAGTACAATTGCATATTTCAGTGTACAGCGTAGGATTCCTTTCTTGAGGACAGCGTGTTTGAACTCCTTCTATCTCCATTCTTCTCTAAATAGCCATGCAGTAAGGTCCTACACGTGCCCTGCATCATTTCAGTGCTTTTCCAGGGTCCTGTTCTGCTCAAGCCAATCCACCTGTGGCAATAACAGCCTGGCCGCAAGGTGCAGTCCCTGGCTGAGAACCATTTTTCCGCCCGAGGGAGCGGCCACACAGCTCCACACAGGCTGTCCCTTTGCTTTTGGGCTCCCTGTGTTTTCTGCTTTCTCGGCCGCGGCGGACAACGGAGCGCGGTTAGCAGGTGCAGGAGGCCGCGGACGGCCCTCCGGGGCGGGGCTCGGCGTTCGGTTCCGCCCCGAGCGCGCTGCTCCGCCCCGAGCGCGCACAGCCGAGGCCCCGTGCGCGTTGCTCCGCCCCGAGCGCGCACAGCCGCGGCCCCGAGCGCCGCGCCCTGCCTGCCCCCGCGCAGCCGATGGTGCTTCCTGGGAGAGCCATGGCCAGTAAGTGGCACGGACCAGCGCGGCTGGCCAGCTGCCGCCGGCGGGCAGATGGCGGCCTTCACAGTCCACCTCAGTGTTCGCGCCTGCGGCCTGGTCGGACGTGGGTGTCGCGGGGCCGGGCGACATGGGCGCTCCCCGGGCTTCCGGTGGAGCCCGCGGCGCCCTGAGCGCCCAGCCCGGGAGCTTGAGGTTCTCGGAGTGTGGGGTTGAGGGTGGTGGAGATAGGAGGCAGGACTGCCTTGTAACCAAATGTTAGGCCCCCGAACAGCTAGGAGTCACAAGTTTTGTAGGATGTGCTTCTGGGGACGTTAGCCATGATAGATTTCCTGAGAGTTAAGGGTTGTTTAAAAGGGAGTAGAGAAAGCGGGCTTGGGATGCCGCATCTCACATCCGACCGCCTGTCGGAACCCTGGCTCCTTCACTTTTGACCTAACATCCTGTTACTGTACCCTCTGGAGGCAGCATGCGATGGCTTGAATGTTTAGGTCCGTTGCTGCGCACCTGGCTCCTGGCTGTTGTGGGCTTTTTGGGAATAAAAGAATAAGTGGAAGGGCTTCTCTCTCTCAATAAGATTTATTATGTTTATCAGAAAGGCAAATTTACGAGAAGGAGAGAGAAGAAAAGCTCTTCTATCTGCTGGTTGACTTCCCAAGTGGCTGAGCTGATCCAAAGCGAGGAGCCAGGAGCTTCTTCCAGGTCCCTCGTGTGGGTGCAGAGTCCCAAGGACTTGGACCCTCCTCTGCTTTCTCAGGCAGGAGACAACTAGGGACTTGAAAGGGAGGTGGATCAGCCAAGATAGGGTTAGCCACTGAGCTCTTGCGCTGGGCTGATAAAAATGAAAAAACAAAACAAAAAAACTAGGTGAATGCTTACAATAAAAAGAGACCGTCAGGCACGCTGTGTAAATTACCATATGTGTTACATGCATTCCGTGTAGAAGGTGGAGGTCTGGCTTTATTTATTTGTTTGTTTTATTTATTTTTTAAAGATTTATTTATTTTTTATTACAAAGTCAGATATATGGAGAGGAGGAGAGACAGAGAGGAAGATCTTCCATCTGCTGATTCACTCCTCAAGTGAGCGCAACAGCTGGTGCTATGCCAATCCAAAGCCAGGATCCAGGAGCTTCTTCCGGGTATCCCACACAGGTGCAGGGTCCCAAAGCTTTGAGCTGTCCTCGACTGCTTTCCTAGGCCACAAGCAGGGAGCTGGATGGGAAGTGGAGTTGCCAGGATTAGAACTGGTGCCCATATGGGATCCCGGTGCATTCAAGGCGAGGACTTTAGCCTCTAGGCCACGCCGCTGGGCCCTTTTTAATTTATTTTTAAACATTTTTTTAAAGTATTTATTTTATTGGATGTCCCGTCCAGCAGGACAGTCAACGGGGGTCGCAACCACCTAGGAGAGATTGGGGGACAAGAGACACGAAGAATGGACAGCAAGACAGGATGTCTGATCAAGCTGTCAGTTTATTGATTTTAATTGAGGGTTTTTATATTCTTCAGTAACTAAGGCTCAGGGAGGAAAGGAGAAACTAGGACGCAAGCCATGGTCTCCAGACCGATTGTTCTTGAGCAGCCACCATATCCACAATAGTAACCAGCATATCAACAATAGCATAGGTAATCAGTAACAAGATATCGGCAGGTACAACATAAATCACATTCTAAAACAGTTGCTAGAAACAATTGAAGCTAAGCGTGTGATTAGCTTCATAACTTCTTTCCCAAGCATCTAGCCAGCCGGGGATTTTCCACTGGCCCGTAGTTCTATATTCAAAATGGCTTCAGTGTGGCTACAGTACACGGCTCCTGACATCTGGAGAGTCAAATTTACAGAGAAAGGAGAGACAGAGAGAAGAGTCTTCCATCCACTGGTTCACTCTCCAAGTGACTGCTATAGCTGGAGCTCAGCTAAGCTAATCCGATCCAAAGCCAGAAGCCTCCCTTGGGTCTCCCACATGGGTACAGGTCCCAAGGCTTTGGGCTGTCCTCAACTGCTTTCCAAGGCCACAAGCAGGAAGATGGATGGGAAGTGGAGCAACTGGAGCACAAACTGATGTCATTATGGGATCCCAGTGCATGCAAGGCAAGGACTTCAGCCACTCGGCTTCCACTCCAGGCCTTGAGGTCTTGTTGTGAACAGTGAGGGTTTGGTCTTGGTCTTTGTGTGTGAGGGGGGTCCCAGCTGGCTTGTGTGCAGGCTTCTCAAGCCAGCCTTGGCTAGATTGGGACATGTAGCTTCCTTCTATGAAGTGGGGGCTGCCCAGCTATCTGTCGGTCACCTGCCTTATGTCTATCTGTGAGAACGCTTGGTTCTTCTCGGCTTGAGTTTAGTCAAGGCTCAGTTGTCTTTTCCCCAAGAGAGATGTGTGCGAGTATCCAGTCCTCAGTGTGGAGGGTTCCCCTGTGGTCGATGTCTTGCTGTCAGAGCCCTGTGCGGTGGGTGAGTTGCAGAATGTCCACCGTCATTGAGCTTGGGTCCAGAGCCCTGCGCTGAGGATGGGAAGGAGGGCACGTCCACACTGCCACGGGGAACGTTCCTGTTCTCCCCCTCAGTCCCAGGCCAGCTCCTGCAGTCCAGGGGAGACTTTTATGGGTGGATGTGGTGTTCTGGTGATGGTGCCAAGCCCTAGAGTCATTCCGACTTTCTGTTTCCCGTTTTCGTTTCTTTTCATTCAGGGTGAAATTGGACTTGTTTCACTGTATTTACATTAGACCAAGGAGGGAACACCTGTATTTTCTTACTTTGGGAGTTAATGCAAATCCCAGGGTTTGTCAGTGATACGTCTTCTGGAGACATCTCCACTGTCAGAGGAGATCCTAGAAATGTAGCTCTAAATGGGGGGATTTCCAGATGCGCCATCAGATGGGGGAGGGCAGTTAGGATCGTTCTGGATAATTATGTCCGCAGAAACTCCAGGCAGGACCCAAGCATCACATGAGTACCTTGAAAAGGGGAAATTGCATGTGAAGCATTGCTCCCTGATTAAAGGTGACTGTTCTAGGAGCCAACAGGTGATTCTGGAGCATAGAGGAGAAGCAAATATAGAGCACAGCTGCTATTTCAAAGGAGCAGTGAATTTTGTTGAGCTGCACAGGTGCCCAGGGACACTGATCTGTAATGAGGCGCATGCACAGCTCATACGATACCAGATTTCTTCCCCACCAGCAGCTAGATAGATCTGCTGAGTCCCAACCTATGATGGGGAAGTTGAGACAGGTATCTCCACTGTCCCAGTTCACGATGGATGATCAGCTTAGTGATTGCACCTTCTGCACTGGATTTGGAACAGGTGGGAGACCCAAGATCATGGGACGGGACCTTATTCAAACTCATCTTCTTGTTTAATGTCTCTACACTATATGCAAGAATGGGCCCACCTACCTTGCTTCTGGTTCTTGGGCCTGGCAAGGAGCTCTGGCCATGAATGATGTTCTGTCTTAGGGTCTCCAAACCTTGTTGTGGAAGGCCATTTTGTGCATTACAAGCTGTTAAACAGCATGCCTGGCTGCCGTCCATTGGATGCCAGTAATATGTGTATTGTGATGATAAAGAAAAAAGTTGTCCAGTTGTACCTGTTATTGCACAGTGTCCAAGGGGAACAGGGTCGTGCTGTGAGAACCTTGGCTGGGCCTGAATTCAGTGGTCCTACATTCTCTGACAAGCATTTTCCTTTATAATTGTCCTTAGCTTTCCGCTTGGCCCTCATCCAGCTTCAAGTTTCTTCCATCAAATCAGACAATGTCACTCGAGCCTGTAGCCTCATCCGAGAAGCAGCAACACAAGGAGCCAAGATAGTCTCCCTGCCGGTAAGTGGCACTGTGGGCCCAGGAGAACGCTGTTGACTAGCTCTGCTTGTCCACTTGAGTGCCTGCATTCAGTACTGCCCATTGAAGCCCAAGATTGCACCAAGTTGGTCTGGAATATTCTGGCAAGGGGAGATTTGTCAACATGATGAACAAGTCTTGCAGTTAGGATCGTCTGTTCTGTGTAAGTGAGAAAACCAGATTCCTAGTATGGTGAAGGAGCTAAAATATACAGTGCTGGGATACTTTTTTCCTCATATAATTTAGCCATCAGGAAGCCTTAATTGAGGCATTTAGGAAGCCTGTGGGTATCTTAAAGCCAGTTAAACTTAGCATCCCTTGGCCTTAGGTTAAATCTTCAGAAAAGAATCAGCTGATGGGTATGCATGTCTGTCTGTTAGCAAGTGCAGGGCTGGTCCAGATGCCGGTTACCTTCTCCATAGGTCTTATGGGGACCACAGGGAGGAATCGTTCTGCACAGCACCCCTCACTCCCGGCTGTGGGGAGGAGGCAGCCCTTTGTACACCCTGCCTCTGTTACTGGAAGAATCGTCACGCCTACTTTTTTGTCCTAGTTACGCCCCAGCTGTCACAGATACGGCCAATGAGCAGACATCTTTAATGTGGGAGCTTGAGATCCTAATGCAGTCTTCCTTATGGAGTCAGTTGTAGAACTCACCTGTCATGTTGTAAAGCCCAGGAGCGGAGGGAATATTCAAATTCTTGAATGTGTATGCTTAGTTTATTAACCAGCTAGCATGCATTTTTGTGCATTTAAGTATCTTGGCTTCAGTATCTTGGTACCGTGCCTGGCACATAGGCGATCTCAAGAAGCACAGACTGATGTGAGTACAGTTGAAGTCTGGTAGCTTTGGTGTTTGTTTCCTGACATGTCAGAGGCCTGTCAAAGGCAAACACCCCAAGTGGATAAATGGCTTCATCAAATCACAGTGATAGTGCTGCAACTTTCAACAGCTAATTTTGCCAATATCTTGAACTTTTGTGGCTTCCGAAAGTTTTTTGTTTTTGTTTCTGTTTTCTTCATACATGATTTTATTGCTTTACGTAGTAATTGTAAAATGTAATTCTGAGGGGATCCTGTTACAGCGCCCGTCCTGTGTCCAGGTACCTGGGTTAGATACTTGTTTCTGACTCCAGATTGAGGACCTGAGTCCCAGCCCTCAGCTTCAGCTTTCTTCACCCCAACCATTATGGGCATTTGAGGAGCATGAACCATGCTGGGTATTAGAGAAGCTCCACCTATCTTTTTTTCTTTCTCTGTTTTTCAAATAAATAAATACATGTTAAAATGCATGCAATTTGGAGCTCACGGATTCCTGCTAATGCTCAGTGTCTGTGAGGAGGCTCCCTGTGCAGTGTTATCTGGATGCCCGTGGTGAGGCCTCACTGTGCTCCCATAGCCTGGAGCCAGCAGGCCGGGGGACCTGTGTCTTCCAGCCTCCCTTGGGTGGTTGCCTGGTCCTGCACGTGGCTGCAAGCTGCACCCAGGTCCTGGACTTTCAGTGCATTTTTGGTTGTGTTTTATCATGTGATAGTAGAGCTGGAAGCAGGAACATGCCTTCTTAAAGCAGATCCTTAAAATGTGTTTTGTGTTTAAGTGATTCTTTTTCCATTTTTTTTCTCTGCCATCATCATTCTAGGAATGTTTTAATTCTCCCTATGGCACAAACTATTTTCCTGAGTATGCCGAGAAAATTCCCGGTGAATCCACACAGAAGCTGTCTGAGGTGGCAAAGGAGTGCAGCATATATCTCATTGGAGGTAACGTCCTCTTTTGGAATGGCCTGAACACCTGAGTGATTGCTGGCCTCACAGGTCAGCTGTGGAGACGCATGAGGTGCTCAGCAAGCACTCATGTGGAAATATCTTCAAGGCACACCGTGCAGTGGAGAAAAAGCAAGCTTAGTATAATGTGAGTGGGTTTCTCGTTCAGATCATGTCCTCCACACAAAAGAAGATTGTGCACACTTGGCTTGCCATCTCCACAGGTTCTCAGTCTGCACATCGGCCAGCTGTGGATTGAAAAGATCTGGGCTGGGGTGGGAAGTGGGAGAACTTCATCGATAATGAATGTTTATAGGTTGTTGTTTTTTCTTACATTCCCTAAATATAATTACTCTGTAATATTCACATTGTTTGATATTGTGAGTGATCTAGAGATGATTTACGGTACCCAGGAGGATGTGCCCCAGTTGTGTGCAAATACTGCGTATCTTATGTAGAGGGCTGGAGCATATGTAGATTTGGCATGTTAGGAATCAATGCCCTGCAGATACCACATGAGGACCATGTTTTGTATGTCGTGTAAGAGGGTGCTTCAGAAAACTCATGGAGAAGAGAGTTAAACGATGGTGCAAAAACTGTTTTGAAATCCTTGAACAATCTTTTCATAATATACAGTTTCTATGAGCTTTTGGTACATCCCTGTACACACAGACTTCGACATTTTTTTCTTGCACCAAAATGAACTTGTCTTTTAATTCTTTTATTCATACACCCCTTTTAAAGATATATTTATTTGAAAGAGAGAGAGAGAGAGAGAAAGCAGGATAGAGATATCCTCCATCCACTGGTTCACTCCTCAGGTGACTACAACAGCCGAAGCTGGGCTCAACTGAAACCGGGAGTCAGGAGCGTCTCGGTCTCCCACATGGCCGACAGGGTCCAAGGACTGGAGGCGTCTTCGGCTGATTTTCCCAGGGAACTGGAGCAGAAGTGAAACCACCAGGACTTGACTGGCATTACAAGTGGTGACTTACCACTGTGCCGCAGCATCCACACCCTCTTTCTATGAATTTTTTGAAGTCCCCTCATACATGTAAAGGAATAATAACTACTGTAGAACTAAATTCATCAAAATTTCAATAATGAGTTTCGCTGGAGAAAGAGTGGCAGTACAGGGGCAGGTTAAAATGTGGAAAGAGAAGTCACTTCTGTTATTTATTATACTATTATAGGGTTGAAAAAACTTTCTTAGATCCTACGTACTTGAAAGTAGCTTTGCATTTGTGCTGTTAAAATAGATTTAAAACTTTTTTATTTGTTAAAATAAAAACAAAGCACAATACATTGTGCAGTAGACATAACAGACTTGACTCTGTGTCATGATATATTAAGGATTAGAAATGAATGAGACGAGAAAATGAAGGCAAAGGCAGAAGTCTAAGGCGGAGCTGACTCCATGGTGGGAGGCTGGTGATTTGGCATCCTATTTCTCATCTTAGTGACTTCTGGAGTACAGTTTTTTTTTTTTTTTAAAAAAAAAGACTTGTTTATTTTCACTGGGAAAGCAGATATACAGACACGAGAGACAGAGAGGAAAATCCGTTTATTGCCATTGCTGGAGCTGAGCCAATCTGAAGCCAGGAGCCTAGAGCTTCTTCCAGATCTCCCACGCGGGTGCAGGGTCCCAAAGCTCAGGCCATCATCGACTGCTTTCCCAGACCACAAGCGGGAAGTTGGATGGGAAGCAGGGCCGCTGGGACATGAACTAGTACCCGTGTGAAACCTGTCATGTGAAAGATAAAGACTTTAGCTGCTAGGCTACTGTGCTGGGCCCTGGGATACAGTTGTAATGTAGGAACTGGTGAGTTTAAGTTAAGCAACAACAAATTTGATTTTACTTTAATGTTACCAATTAAGTGTTGCTCAAGATCCTGGCTGAATTTCAGGAGCAGCTGGTTATTTGTTAAACCTGTCTCTGGCCTCTGATCTGATAGCTTCAAGAGCTATTTATTTGAAAGGCAGAGAGAGCAATGTCTGCAGTGGCTGCAGGGCCGGGTCCTGCTGAAGCCAGCGGGAACCTGAGACTCCATCCAGGTCTCCCTCGTGGCTGTCAGGGACCCGAGTCCTTGAGTCATCTGCTGCCTTCCAGGGCATTAGCAGGGAACATGGGTTGGAATAGAGCTGGTCTCACTGGAAGCGGCACTCTGATGTGGGATGCCAGTGTCACAGATGGTAGCTTAACCCCCTGTGCCCCAAAGGCAGGCCCTGCATCTGACTTGATTATGTCTCATCTCCACGCTCATGCTTTTCTCTGAAAGATTATTTTCAGCAACAACAAACGTTAGGCAACTCTTAGAAGTTACTATCTTTTGGGCCTGGCACAATAGCCTAGTGGCTAAAGTCCTCCCCTTGCATGCACCAGGATCTTATATGGGCATTGATTCGTGTCCTGACTATTCCACTTCCCATCCAGCTCCCTGCTTGTGGCCTGGGAAAGCAGTTGAGGGTGGTCTAAAGCCTTGGGACCCTGCACCCGCGTGGGAGACCCAGGAGAAGTTCCTGGCTCCTGGCTTCAGATCAGTTCGGCTTCTGCCATTGCAGCCTCTTGGAGAGTGAATCAACGGACAGAAGATTTTTCTCTGTCCTCTGAAAATCTGACTTTCCAACAAAAACAAATCTTAAAAAAAAATAGTACATTTTATTGCTGTACAGAAGTCACTGTTTCTCAGTTGTTTCTTTGGTCATCATAAAGGAATCGCGGTGTCCATTTTTATTGTTAATGGCTTGCGTGCCTGCCTGTCTTGTCTCTCCATGAAAGGCTCCATCCCTGAGGAAGATGCAGGGAAGCTATACAACACCTGTGCTGTGTTTGGGCCTGATGGGACGTTGCTGGTAAAGCACCGGAAGGTGAGTAGGGATGTCTCCCCGAGTCGTCTTCGTCCCTGGCCCCTCTCAGCAGGTTGTGCACGAGCCACCAGGCTGTTGATTTGCTGGCACAGATGGCTAGAGTTGGAAGCTTGCATTTTTTTTTCTGTAGCTCTTAGACTCACTGTATCAATTGCTGCAAAGACACAACCTGCATGGATTTTTATTATGGAGATGCTTTGTTGAATACAGGGAGGTTAACTCGGAGAGAAGTGACATCTTTTATTTCTTAGCTTCCTAGGATTATTGTTGCAGTTCTGTCCTGTTTTAGTTTGCTCAGAGACAGCATATGGTTGGGTCTTTTTATTCGTTTTGATAGTTTGGGAGTGGTTAATTTATATGTAAGGTAATTATTAGGGTGGTTAGATTTAGATATTCGTCATTTTACTTTTGTTCTTTGTAGTTTTCTACCTTCTTTTGGAGTAACTGAGTATTTTTCCAAATTCCATTTAAATGTATCTACTACCTTTTTCATTATACTTTTTTTTTTTTAAGCTGCTGCCCTGGGAATTAAAGTATACATCTTTAACTTGTCACAGTCTGGGTAATGTTGTCATCACTTCATTGCCTATCTCCTGTTCTTTATGTTTGTTATAGTTGTTGTATGTATTCTAGTAAAGAAGTTATAGATACTATACACCAGTAACTTTTCATATAAGTCGTATACATTTTAAAGAAGGGAAAAACACATTTCATTTCTCTGCCCACCCAAATATTGACCCTTGTGATGTTTTTCTCTTCTTCCTGCAGATCCTTATTCTCTTTGTGTCTTTTCCTTCAGACAGAAGGACTGCTTTAGGATCTGCTGTGAGCTGGGAATTCTCTTGGGTTTTGTTTATGGATATGTCTTTATCTTGCCTTCATTCTTGAAAAATATATTTTTTAAAGATTTATTTATTTATTGGAAAGTCAGATATACAGAGAGGAGGAAAGACAGAAAGAAAGATCTTCCATCCGATGATTCACTCCCCAAGTGAGCGCAACGGCCGGTGCTATGCCGATCCGAAGCCAGGAGCCACTTCTGGGTCTCCCACACGGGTGCAGGGTCCCAAAGCTTTGGGCCGTCCTCGACTGCCTTCCCAGGCCACAGGCAGGGAGCTGGAAGGGAAGCGGGGCTGCCGGGATTAGAACCGGCACCCATATGGGATCCTGGCGCGTTCAAGGCGAGGACTTTAACCATTAGGCCACGCTGCCGGGCCCTGGAAAAATATTTTTGCTGAAATAAACTTCTGGGTTGACCGTATTTTTTCTCTGCTAGAAGTCACATTATAGCCTGCCTTTATCCTGACAAGAAGTTTACTTTTATACCCTTGTGTATAATTTTTTGCTTTCAAGACTTTTCTGTAATCTTTACTTCTCAGTGTGCTCTTAAAAGTTTTTTAAAGAGCTTACTTACTTATTTGAAAGGCAGAGTAACACAGAGAGGTAGGGAGAGACAGATCTACTTGGCAGTTCTCTTCCCACATGGCTGTAGTGGCCAGGACTGGGTCAGCTGAAGCCAGGAATTTCTTCCAGGCCTTCCCTAGCACAGGGGCCCAAGCAGCTGGGCTGTCCTCTGCTGCTTTCCTAGGAACATTAGCTGGGAGCTGCATTGGAACAGGGCATCCGGGACTTGCCTGGGCTCCTCAATGGGGCGCTGGCATAGCTGGGAGCTGCATCGGAACAGGGCATCCAGGACTTGCCTGGGCTTCTCAATGGGGTGCTGGCATAGCTGGGAGCTGCATCGGAACAGGGCATCCAGGACTTGCCTGGGCTCCTCAGTGGGGCGCTGGCATAGCAGACAAAGCTTTACCCCATGGTCCTGGCCTCAGTTCTCAATATTTTTTCATTCTAACGTGACTCAGTTTTGTCTTGATTGGTGCTTCTTCTATTTATGATTTTAAAAATGTTTTCCCATACTTAGGAACGTTTGGGGATGTTATTCTATGAATTGCTTTTTCTGTCTCATTCTGGTTTGGACCTATAATACATATATTTAAGAAATTATTTCAAAGTTCCTGAGACCCTGGTAGGATATTTTTCCCTTTCCACCATTTTTTAAAGAGTTATTTATTTATTATTTGAAAGGCGGAGTTACAAAGGAAAGTTGAGAGAGAGTGATACAAAGAGAGCGAAATCCATCTCCCCTCCACTGTGCTACTTTCCTGATAGCTGCAACACCCAGAGTTGAGCTATTCCAAAGCCAGGAGTTTCTTCCAAGTCTTCCATTTGGGTGCAGGGTCCCAAGGCCTTAACCATCCTCTGCTGCTTTCCCAGGCCAAAAATAGGGAGCTCAATCAGAAGTGGAGTAGCTGGGACAACAAGCTAATGCCCCTGTGGGATGCTGGCACCACAGACAAAGGCTTACCCTATTATGCTGTGGTGCCAACCCCTCTGTTTTACAGACTGGATAGTTGCTATTGATGTATGAACGTTGCTGGCCTACTTCTCCAGCACCTTCAACATTCTGTGAGCCAGTCCAGTGAGAGTTGTGAAAATTCTAGTATTTACTAGTATGGTTTTATGTATCATTTTTAAAATGTGTTTTAAGTCATGTTTCTGTACTTTTCATTTTCAGTTTCTTACTGTTATATAGAAATCCAACCAGGTATTTTTTCCCCAAGATTTGTTTATGTACTTGGACCTGGCATGGTAGCCTAGTAATTAAGGTCCTTGCCTTGCATGTGCTAGGTTGCCATATAGGCACCAATTTGTATCCTGGCTGTTCCACTTCCTTTCTACCTCACTGCTTGTGGCCTGGAAAGCAGTAGAGGACAGCCTAAAGCCTTGAAACCCTTCACCAGTGTGGGAGACCCGGAAGAAGCTCCAGGTTCCTGGCTTCGGATCAGCTCAGCTCAGGCTGTTGTGACCACTTGAGGAGTGAACCAGCAGATGGAAGATCTTTCTTTCTGTCTCTTCTCTCTGTAAATCTGCCTTTCCTAGAAAGACGAAGTTTGAAAGGTGAAATTACAGGAAGAGAGATAAGGAGAGTCAGAGAGATAGGTCTTTGAGCCATTGGTTTAGTCCCCAAATGACTTCAGTGACTGGAGCTAGCTGACCCAGGGCCACAAGCTGCATCCGGTTCTTCCATGTGGATGCAGGGATCCAAGCACTTGAACCATCTTCTGATGCTTTCCCAGGCCTATTAACAGGGAGCTTGATTAGAAGTGCAGCAGTCAGGACTGGAATTGGCACATGTATGGGATCCTGGCACCACAGACAACAGCTTAACAGGATACACCGCAGTGCTGGCCCCTCACTGGTTTTAAAAGCATCAACTTTTATATAACACTCTTGATAGATTTAATCATTAATTTAAATGATTATCTATAGGAATTTTGGGTTTTTTAAATTAATTTAAAATAAATTTTTACATACGTAATTTTGCCATTTGAGCCTAATGAGAGATTTCACCTTTTCGTTTCGATCTTTATGTGCCTTACTAGTTCCATTCACCTTGTTCCTTTAGATTCTGTGATACCATGTTGAGTAGTAAATGTGTGTTTTGTTGCCACTCAGAAAGAAACTTTCAGTATTTCACTATTAAATATAATTTTTGTTTGAGTTGTTCACAGAAACTCTTTATCAGACTTTAAGAAAGAAAGTATTTATTTGAAAGACCAAGTTGCGGAGATGGGGAGAGGTACACAGCTGTGTCATCCAGGTCTTGCACATGGGTGGCAGGGGCCCAAGTACTTGAAGCCATGTCCTGCTTTCCTAGGTGCATTAGCAGGGAACCAGTTCAGCCGGGACTCGAACCAGCACCCATGTGGGATGCCAGCACTGCAGACAGTAGCTTAATTTACTATGTCACAGTTCTGGTCCCTGTTACCAGATTTTTAAAAATCTCTTTTGGGCCCAGCATGTTAGCCTAGTAGTTAAAGTTCTTATCTTGCAAGTACCAGGATCCTATATGGGCACAGATTCTAATCCCAGCAGCCCCGCTTTCCTGGCAGCCCCCTGCTTGTGGCCTGGGAAAGCAGTCAAGGACGGCCCAAAGCCTTGGGACCCTGCACCCATGTGGGAGACCTGGAAGAGGTTCCTGGCTTCAGATTGACTCAGCTCTGGCCATTGTGGCCACTTGGGGAGTGAGCCATTGGGTGGAAGATCTTCCACTCTGTCTCTCCTCCTCGCTGTATATCTGGCTTTCCAATAAAAATAAATAAATTATTGTAAAAAAATTCTCCTTCTAGGGCCTGACGTGATGACTCAGTTGTTTAATCTTTCCTTTGTAAGTGTTTGGATCACATGAAGGTGTTGGTTCATGTCTCAGCTGCTCTACTTCCCATCCATTTCCTTGCTTGTGGCCTGGAAAAGCAACAGAGAATGGCCCAAAGTCTTGGGAGACCTGCAAGAAACTCCCATCTCCTGGTTTTGGATTGGCTCAGCTCTGGCCATTGTGGCCTATTGGGGACCAGCTGATGGAAGATCTTTTTATCTTTCCTTCTTTGTGTAAATCTGCCTTTCTGGTTAAAATAAATGTTTCTTCCTAGAAAAAAAAATATATATATATTTATTTTTACTTGAAAATAATGTGCATTTGAGAGGCAGGCAGAGATGAAGAGAGATCATCAGTGTGGTAAGTACCCAGGCATTTGAGCCACTCAGGTGCACATTAGCTGGCAGCTGAACTGAAAGTGGAGTGGCTTGGATTTGAACCAGCACCCCAGCAAGGGATGTGGGCATCCCAAACAGGACTTTGATAGCTATGCCAAATATCCAAACCCCCTTTTGTTCAAATCAGAAACAACTGTAGTTTACCAAATATTCAGTATACATTTCTTTAGATCATATGATTTTTTTTGTTTTGTTAATGTGCTAAGCTAGATTGATTTTTTAGTATTAGGTGTATTTTCTTTCTTTAAATAAATTTGAAAGTAATACATTATTACTCTTATACATTGCTGACTTTAATTTTGTGATTATTTTTTTTGTTTTGCCTATTTTTAATGTCTACTCAATCTCCATCGCTCCTGCTCAATTTTTAGTTTGATTGAAATTCTGGGAAATTTTCATTTTGAATACAAAAGCAACCCATGCATTGTTTCCCATGAGAAATGTAAACATTGGCTCACATTCCATATGGAATTGGAATTGCAGTGTGGTCTTTTCCATTTTCCTGTGTAGGAGTCATTTTGGCGAGTTGCAGGACAGGTCATGGGTAGTTTGAAGTGCTATTTTTGTACATACTTGATCTTATACCAGTTTGCTTCTATGTTTGTGGAATGATGTCTGCTGTTACCACCGTGAACCCTGCTGGAATAGAGGTAACCAAGCTATTTGTTTGTAATGCAGATCCATCTGTTTGACATTGATGTCCCTGGGAAAATTACATTTCAAGAATCTAAAACGTTGAGTCCTGGTGATAGTTTCTCTACATTTGACACTCGTACGTACCAAATAAATTTGCCTCCTTTAGCTGTCCTAGTGCAAGAGCAGATACCCCTTTCTTTCCTATGTTTCTCTCCAACCTTTTCATATAACCTGATTGGAAGATTGAAATGAGAAAGGCAGTATGTCTCCAAAGATCTGTAAAGTTTGAGCTGAATAGACAGCTAATTGGTTTAACGTGATTTTGCTCTTCCATTTGGTCACAAGTTCCTGTGATTTATTCCAGAGTATTCCTATGAAGTCATGATTGAACATCTCCCATTTAAATAATAAGCATTCAGTTAGGATGAATTTCTCATCTCTGCTACAGTGAGTAAGGTCTTTATGAGATGAAGTCCAATTAAGAAGTGTGGTTCTAAATTGTCCCCATCTAAGGGTCCTGTGTTAATTTGTCCCTGTCAGGTTTTTTTGGGTCCTAGGGGATTTTTCCTGCCACACTGTGGTACAGGCTATTAACTTTTCATTTGTGCTTTTTCTGTTTGGAAACAGCTTACTGCAGAGTGGGCCTGGGCATCTGCTACGACATCCGCTTTGCAGAGCTTGCACAGATCTATGCCCAGAAAGGTGAGGCAGTGCTGTGGTTGTGTTCTGTAGCTTGGAGGTTTGGTTCTGGACTTGTCTTTGTGGGGTCAGGGAACCCATTAGTTAGCAAAGCTGGGAAAGGAGCCTTAATCTCACCATCTACAGCCCTTGCATTTCATCAAGCCTCTTGGACTTTTGTTGTACATGAGGGTTTTCAGAAGTTGTGGTTTAGCATACCAACTTGGAACAGGTAATAAAGCTCAGTAGGTCAAGTTGTCAATTGGGACACTCATATCCCATATTATAGTGCCTGGATGGGTCCAGGCTCCTCCACTCTGACCAGTGTCTTGCCAGTGTGCTTGGATTCCTTCCACCCACTTGGACACCCAGGTGGAGCTCCTGGCTCCTGGCTTCAGCTTGGCGTCGCTCAGACTGTTAAGGACATTTAGGAAATAAACCAGTAGATGGAAGAGATCTTTCTCTCTCTCTGTGTGTGTGTGTGTGTGTGTGTGTGTGTGTGTGTGTGTGTGTGTGTGTCTGTGTGTGTCTGTGTATGTGTGTGTGTGTCTTTACTATCACTCTGCTGTTCAAATCCATCTAGGAATGCATCTGTAAGTTCTTAACAAATGAGTCTAATGTAGCCAGGAAAGGAGGTTTGTCCTAAGTGTCTGTTCTGTTCTTTGAGTTTAGAACAATTCATTTGGAACTTAGTCGGAATGATCAAATGGGCTGGACTCTGATAGGATCTCACCACTTGGTGGTTTTAAATGTGGCTATAACAGAAATGTGCCCAATGACATCTTGGTCCCAAACCAGGCTGAAGTTTCTGAGTTCTGGTTCTAACTCTTCCCTGTGGTTGGCACAGTACATTGGGTCAGTCATTTCACCCTTGGAGCGCTGTTGGTTTCACTTTCTTCATAAGAATTATATGAAAGTTAGGGATAGAGAATGTATAAAGTTCCTTGATAAGTGGGACTCAGCAAACGTTAGCATTCTTACTAGATTGCTGAATCTAATTCCAGATTGTCATTTAACCAACTGAAGTGGGTAAGGAATAGTTTGCTAACCCAGTAGAAGGAAAAAGTACATGGCTTCTGGAGTTAATAGTCTCTTTGAGCCTCATCCAACAAACATTAAAACTACGATTCTGCCCCTAATTTCAGTTGAAAAGAATTATGAAATATGGCATGTAGCCAAACATACAGCGAGAGAGAAGTTCCAATGGCTGTTCTTTTTTGATGTGCCTTTGCGTGTTACGATTCCAGGCATCTGCAGCACTTCTCTTGGGGGCCTTATGTGTTCTATGTGTGTGTTTCTAAAGTAATGCAGAGCTATTCTTCAGTACTGCTGCCTCTGCCTCATTGGGTTGACATTTTTATTTATTTTTAAATTTATTTTATTTGAAAGGCAGAGTTATAGAGCGAGAGAATGATTGAGATCTCCCATCCACTAGTTCACTCTCTAAATGGCCACAGTGGCTGGAGCTGGGCCAGTCTAAAGCCAGGAGCCAGAGATGGGTGCAGGTGCCCAAGTACTTAGGCCCTCCTCCACTGCCTTCTGAAGCCATTAGCAGGGTGCTGGATCAGAAGTGGAGCCACTGGGACTTGAACTGGCACCCTTACTTATGTGTCACTGTAGGCTTAGCCTTAGCCTGCTAAGCCATGATGCCAGCCTCAGCTGACATCTTTTTATGCTTGGAGAATCTTGAGTTTGGTCTCTGTTAAGTGAGAAACAATAGGACAGACTAGTGTCATTATTTCACGTGTGTTTATTGTTCTTTGCCTTTCTGTCCCCAAGGCTGTCAACTGTTGGTGTATCCTGGAGCTTTCAATTTGACCACTGGCCCAGCCCACTGGGAGTTACTTCAGCGAGGCCGGTAGGAAAGGACCATCTGTGTCTCCTCTCTGTGCAGAGGTTTCGGGTTTGATGCGGGTACCAGCCTGCCCCAAGTGGAAGACTGCTTCACACCCAAATGTAGTTGGAAAGGATTGCTTTGCAGGGAGGGCTTCTGCTGCTGGGTACTTCCTTTCAGAAGCCGCGACACCCCCTCCTGAGTTTGGGGGGCTGAGTGTTGCAGTTTTAGGAACATTCAGTGTATCACATGGACCACAGGTTCAGTTTTCTGAGATTAAATACAGATTAGTCTCTCATGAGACAATTTCTAGCAACTTTTCCAGAGGAATTCAGCCACAGAAACTAAGAAAGAGGCAGTGGTTCCTTTAGCACCGCAGCCCTAGGGAGGGATTTGAGTCCGTGCCATTCACATGACGGTTTTTTCCTACCCTGTTCATCCTCTGTTGCCTCCCTCTGGCCTTGGGGATACTCTGCCAGCAAACTCATTAGAATCTGTTGTCCTTCTAACTCATAAATCCAGGCCATTGCACAAGCATCACTGGCATGTCACAGTGGCATTTCCCTTTGTCCTCCAAGGCTGAGGGCTGGTGAAGGGCAACCAGCAGAAGTGACAGCACATGGAAGGGAGGAGGGCCGTGACTGTGCCTGCGCAGTGTGCATGAAATGCTGATCACAGTGCTAGTTTTTTTTCATTATAGCTTTTTAATTGAAGTGTCATGTAGAAAAGTACACTAATTTTAAGCATGCAAGTCAGTGTGTGTGTGTGTGTGTGTAAACATTTCCAGTCTCTTAAAATGCTCATTTCCCACTCAGTAGTCTCCTTCTGCCAAGAAGTAGCCACTGTTCTCAGTTTTAGAGATGGTGGTAATATGTATTGGAAGGGAAAGAGGTATGTCACTGAATGCAGGGTAGAAAAGGGCTTAAAAGTAGATGATACTATGGTGTTCATCACTGTGCAGTCCTGTGAGAAGTAAGAAAAGCTTAGAAGATAATGGGATAAACTGGCATGATTCAATTGAGTAATGCCAGAGGGCTCCCAAGAGAGGTGGGTGGGTTGCTATAGCTGCTATATGTGGACTTCTTGTCTAAGCTGAGATGTGTGAGTGCAGCTGTTGACATGAAAGTGCCTTACAGCCCTGCCTGATGCAGCAGCAAGAACTACCTCTTCTCCCGGACCACCTTCCAGAGGTGCTCTGGTATTTTGTATGTGATCGGCAGCTTGTGCCAGAATGCTCAGCGGTGTTGCTTTTGGCATTTTGGGGACCATCCTGTGCACTGTAACACATGAAACAGGCTCCTTGGCTTTCCCTACTAGACACCAACATAAAGGTCTACAGACACTGGCAAGCCTGATGGGCAAAATCACACCCAGTGGACAGCTGTTGGTTTATGCACAAAGTTTTTGAAGAGAGGGTTCCATGGCCTTGGCTTTCTTTCATGTCTTGAGCACAGATAGTCCCCAGATTACAATAGTAGAAAACACCTTATGGTTTTTCAGCTTTACAGTGGTGGAAAAACTGTACATCAAAGTTGTTTTTTGAATTTTGTTCCTATCTGAGCTAGTGCTGTGCCTGATGGGACCCTCTTGTGATGCTTGGCAGCGGCAGCGAGCCACAGCTTCCAGTCGGCTCCAGCACGATGAGGGCAAACAACCCATACTCCGCAGCACACTGTGCTGCTAAGCTCCTACACTGGATACGCCAAGGGTATTCAATGCGTTTGTCACTGAAGATTTTTGCTGAAAATTGTTTTATTGGTAGTAACCCCATTTATGGCAAGATGAATCTGCACAAGTCTGTTTTCTAAAAGAAGGAGCCGTTGTGGTTGGAATAGAAAAACATCACTGATCTGTAGTGGTCACGTTACCTGTTTTCTGTCCGTTGACTGCAGAGCTGTTGATAACCAGGTGTACGTGGCCACAGCCTCTCCTGCACGGGATGACAAAGCTTCCTATGTTGCCTGGGGACACAGCACCATTGTGAATCCTTGGTAAGTTTAGCTGAATGAGTTTGGAATCGATGGTTACTTGTGAGATGGAACACGGACAGGTGGATTATTTGGCCTCTGACCCACCTACCCCAGCTCTCCCCTTTCCTAATATGTACTTCCAAGTTTTGGTTTCCATTTGAAAACCAAGTGAGAAAAAAATTGTCCTTCTCTCCTGATTGAGTAGTTGGCCTTAGCCGAGTGCTTGCCCTTTTCTGAGTCTCTAAATGATGTCCAATGTCCATCCAGTTAGATTCCATTGAAAAATAAGGCAGCAGGTACAGGTTGGAGGTTTTACTAAAAGGCCCACAGACTCTTTGCTGTGGTTAAAATTTAAGCTGGTAACTGGTCTTAGGATAGGAGTGAGTTTCAGGGTGAAGACTTTGCTCCCAGCATAATGATTCGATGAGGGGAAGAGCGAATCAGTCATGGAAAATACAACCTTGTCCCTGGCAAGTGGGTGAAGCATTTTATTACCCAGTGAAACCAGCATGTAAATCTTCTCAGATGCATGTACAGTGAGGCCTTAAACATATGGCCTGGTGTGCGTGTGTGCAGTTTGCGTCATACCCTCAGTATGTGGCTTGCATGGTCTCAGCCTGAGCTCAGGACTGTCCCTTAGTGAACTCAGTTCAGGCATGGAGTGACTACAACTTTTGACTAGGACTTTTTGAATTCAAAACTTGGATTTTTTTTCACACCATTGCACACACACACACACACACACACACACACACACACGTCTATGATTCCTGCTATTTCAGGGAAAAGATTCCAGTCACAAAACTAAGAATGTTTGGGGCTGGTACTGTGGCATAGTGAGGTAAGCCACCACTTGCAATGCCAGCTGCTCAATTTCCTATTCAGCTCCTTGCTAAAGTGCCTGGGAGAGTAGTGGAAGATGGCTTAAGTGCTTGGGCTAGTGCATTCAGGTAGAAGGTCTAGAAGAAGCTTCTAGTTCCTCGCTTCAATCTGAGTCCACCTTTACTGTTGTGACTATTTAGGGAATGAACTAGTAGAGGGAGGATTTCTCTCTCCCTGTAACTTTGACTTTCAGAAAAATAATAAATTATGAAAAAACAAGGCATAAGAAGGAGAAAGGCTGATTATCATGTAGTCCTAGTATGTACTTTATTCCAGCTTCCTGGGACCCAAAGCTCGACCTGTGTGATAGGGAGGCTTTGGACGATACGGCTAGTGAGATTCCTGTCTTCCTGAATGTAAGATGTGGGGGAGAGCTGGAGAACTGGAGCGGTTAAGTTGGCTTGTAGCATTTCTTACGCTTGCTTCAGGTTTGTGTCTGTGGGTAGTTTCATGGTGGGTGGTCTGTCCTCTGCCTCTCGGGCGGCGCTGCTCCACAGCCAGTTCCCTGTGCACTCTGAAACTGACCACGCCAGCTGCCTCTGACATGCAGTAGCTGTATGATTTACTGTTCTAGCTTGCTTCCGTCTGCTGGTCCTGGGAGCATTCTGGCTAATGTTGACATTAGATTGGGAGGGACTGAATTTAACACACAAATGGACAAGTACTGAGACAAATGGACAAGCGGTTTTTCTTAAATTATTATTTTATTTTGATAATCTTTGCATAGTTGATTAGGACAGAAAGGGTCAAGGGCTACAGGAAAGTGGGTAAGACCATTGTTTCCACATTCTCTCTCTCTCTCTTATTTTTTTTTTTCCTGCATCTGGGGTAAGGGAGGAGATAAAGGGAGAAGCCCCACTCACCCTCCTACCCATGCCAGGGTCCCTGACATGTGCACTGCTCAAGTGGTTTTGAGAGTTCAGCAGTTCTGAATTGCTGCCAGTCTCGCCATTCCAAGCACGATGAAATCTCTCCAGAACCCACTGCCTGACATAGTCCACCTTAGGTCTCCATGTGCCCAGATTTTCACTGCCAACACATGGCTTGGGTAGATGATCAATTTGTTCTGTCCTCAGTCCTCTGTTCTGGTACTAGGGCCGGGTGTGATAGCCTAGTGGCTATAGTCTTGCCTTGTACACACTGGGACTCCATATGGGTGCCAGTTCTAATCCCAGCAGTCTTGCTTCCCATCCAGCTCCCTGCTTGTGGCCTGGGAAAGCAGTTGAGGATGGCCCGAAGCCTTGAGACCCTGCACCCTCAGGGGAGACCCGGAAGAGGCTCCAGGCGGCTTCAGATAGGCACACTTATGGCCATTGCAGCTACTTGGGGAGTGAATCAACAGGTGGAAGATCTTTCTCTCTGTGTATCTGACTTTCCAATAAAAATTAAATAAATTTGAATGGCTGAGTGTACCAGAACTGTTTGTGACTATCTGGTCAACAGAGCCGTTATCACGTGCAGTTGTTTGTAGTGTTGGTTACTTTGGAGAACTCTGGTTTCATGGACAGTATAGCTGAATGCCTGCCCTGGGCCAAGAGACTAGGCCCTGGGAGTAGCTTTCCAGGTCAGCATTCGCTCTGTGCTCTTGCTGTCCCCTAGGGTAGGACTCCTGCAGGTATGTGAGCTGCCCACCACTTCTACTCGGTCCCCCAGAAAGCTGTGTTTCCCTCAACTCTGAGAATGAAGCCTGCTAATGTGTGGATCCAGGGGTCCCAGGCACAAGGGCAGATCCCAGGGGTTGTGGGGCCCACCCAGCTGAAGAGCAGACCTGGATAGGGACAGTATGGGTTTCCCCCAGTTTGTACCTGTCAGGTAGAATGGAGCTTCTGACTTGGGTTAGATAGCTCTGTGCCCAGAGGAGTGTGGGACCGGAATAACTGCCATTTCTTAGGTGTCCAAAGCTCAAAATATTCCCCTTTATTTTCTTGCTGAGTCCTCATCGTGCTTTTAGTGCCACCTTATACTTCAGGAAGTGAATATTGCAGATTACTTGCCATACAATTATAAAGCCACTTAAGGGATTTGTGCTCCTGCCTTCTTCATTTAAATCTCAGAGTCTTTGCCATGTGAGATGGAAAGGGAGAGCAGAGATCCTGAATATTGCTAACATCAGGGAAGTCCTCATGGTCCTGGCCTGTTTTTCAGGGGAGAGGTCCTAGCCAAAGCGGGCACTGAAGAAACCATCGTGTATTCAGACATCGGTAAGGCTTCCCTTGCAGGGGTTCAGTCTCTGGCATTCCCTTTGCTCTGAAGCCAGATCCCACGGCTATGAAGCTTCAGTCGCTTGAAATGCTCCTTCATGCCCCTCCTCTGCTACGCTTGAGGATATTTGAGGATCTGGTTCACCGACCACTCCCTGGGGGCTGTTGCTCAGGTTGAAATCCTTTAGTTTGGTTCGAAATCAGTCCTAGGCCAATTCCAGACCATCTGTGCATCTAGACGAGACCACTGTTAGCATGAACTTATTTGCTAAGAAATCCCGTTGGTTAGTGAAGAGTTGTAAATGATTGATAGTTCGCTTTTCTGTTTCTACAGACCTGCAGAAGTTGGCTGAAGTCCGCCAGCAAATACCCATTTTGAGACAGAAGCGATCAGACCTGTATGCAGTGGAGTCGAAAAAAGCTTGAGGTTAAGGTTTCCATCATGTAGCACGAAGGGAAGATACAATTCCATGACATGATCAGCTTCCTGGTGAATTTCTTAATCCTTTTTGTTTTCATTCTTTGTCTCTCTCTCTTTTATTACCTAGTCAAAAAGGACTTAGGCTGTGTTCAGAAGGGTTGGCTCAGAAGTTTCCACCATGCTTGAATTGCTTCAGAACTGTTGATACAAGTGTCAGATCTTGGAATCTCACTGGCTAATTCACCTGAGAGAAATGTCAGTTTGTCCTGAACCTCCAATCCTGCTCATTGGAGGTGGAATCCATTGTCTAGAAAACAACGGTCTGGTGCTGTTGTACTTGAAGCAGTACTTTAAAGTCATATGTGTGCATCCATGTGTAACTATGGGGAGCAAGGTTTAGATTCTTGCACTTTGCAAGAGGAAGTCGTGGGCCTGCCTTCCAAGTTTGGGAAGGAGCTGGAGCTTCACCTGGGCATACTGGTTTTGGAGGAAGAAGCCATGAGCCTCGCGGGTGAATGCCAGCGAAGCACTTGTTCCTGGCAACTTAGTGCAAATCTATGCGAGAGGCCCCAATTCTGGTGTGTTGTTTTGTTTTTTTTCTTTTCTCTCTGCTGGCATTTCCTACCTCCAAAGATGAAGAATCAATGAATGTAGAGTTGCTTTTTTTTTTTTTTTTTTTGCCTCTGAATCATTTAATACAATTAAAAGTGAAGGACTCCAGCGAGTTTTTGTGTCTGTTATGTTTGGTGGTGGACTAGAACGACCAGCTGTCTGAGAACAAACCCTGGTTTTGTGGTAGTGTTTGCTGCTCTCTGCGATGCCACTGGGTCACCGTGGTCGAGTGGAAGCTGTCACCTGATACCTCTCAGTGGAGTTGGGACAGATGTACACAGATGGCTGTTGTGAGCTGCTGTGATCCTGCTGGTGCACCCACACTGGTATAAACAGACAGACATTTACCATTTTGGAAAGTAAGACAAAAATACACAAACGCAAATTGTATTAGCTCTGAGAGTGAAGATACCATGGAAAACAATATTGTAGACTCAGTGAAAAGGACACATGATTTTTTTTTTAATTATAAAATTTGATAAAATTTGACAGTGCACACATAGATGCACATAGCTACCACCTCCCAAAATATCTCTGTGCTCTTTTATAATCTCTCAGGTTATTCCTCATTCCAAAATAACCACTGATGAATTTCATCACTGTAGACAATTCGTGTTTTCTAGAACTGTGTGAAAATGGAGTCATGCCGTATGTCTCTTTTTAATTCCTTTTTTTCCTCTTCCTTGTTATTTGGAGAGTCATCTTTGCATTGGTAATTCATTCCTCTTCATTGCTGAGTTGTATTTAATTGTAAGGCTTTGTGATAATTTGCTTATCCATTTGGGTTATTTCTACTTTGGGACTATTACACAAAAGCAATTAGAAGTATTTTATACACACTTTTTTCATTTTTCCTTGATTGGAGTGGTAGTGATTTTACCATTCTATATTGCTGCCAGGTCTTACCAAGATTTGATGTGCTCAGTGTTTTTACAGTCTGCGACTATGCTGAGTGGGTTTTCATGTGCTTCTTGGAAGTGTCTGTTCGTATCTTTTGCCTGTAACTGTATTGGATTACTAACTACTTGTTGACTAACACCGTAATACCGTTTTGTTATATACTAGATTTGACTTGCTACATTTAAGAATTTTGGAGGACAATACCTATGGTAGGAATAAAATCTGTTCTCTTTGTATTAATAAAAATTTTTAAAAGTAATTTTGGAGGGTCAACATTGTTGTGCAGTAAGCCACCACTTGCAGTGTCAGCATGCCATGTGGGTGCCAGTTTGAGTCCCAAATGTTCCACTTCTGAGCCATCTCCCTCTATTTATTTATTTATTTATGTCTTAATATTTATTTTTTATTGGAAAGTCAGCTATACAGAGAGGAAAATTTCCATCTGCTGATTCACTCCCCAGGTGACTGCAATGGCCGCAGCTGAGCCAGTCCAAATCCAGGAACTTGAAGCCTCTTCCGGGTCTCCCATGTGGGTGCAGGATCCCAAGACTTTGGTCCGTCCTCGACTGCTTTCCCAGGCCACAGGCAGAGAGTTGGATGGGAAGCGGGGCTGCTGGGATTAGAACTGGCACCCATATGGGTTCCTGGTGCATGCAAGGCAAGGACTTTAGCTGCTAGGTCACTGCACCAGGCCCTGTTCTTATTTTTCATGATATAGTTTTGTAGGTATAGGCCGTCCCCCCCTTCTCATTACCTCCATCATCCCTTGTATTTTACAGTATTTTAGTCCTTCAGCTGCAGTCTCAACTCCAGTTTTCTGCTCTTTACATGTGTCATGAGATTGTAGATATAAACGATGATTGAGAGTCCAGTATCTTGTTGTCAAGGTGTATTTAAGTTTTATTTATTAAGCTTTCTTTGAGAGTAGAGATGTATACTGCAGTTCTTTGTTCCCCGGTACTCTGGTATCTATTATATTGCTTGTTTATGAAATTACAAGCGTATACTTGTTTACATATATATATTTGTTATGCGTTTTGCATGAAAATTGCCTTATAAAGGAGAGAACAAAAATTTGTCCATTTGGGATTGGCTTAATTCATTGAGCGTAATGAGCTCCAGTTGGGATCATTTTGTTGCAAATGGTAGAATTTCATTTGTCATAATGGTTGAGTAGTATTCCATAGAGTAGATGTACCATGATTTCTTTATCCAGCCCTCTCTCATTGGGCATCTAGGATGTTTCCATGTCTTTGCTATTATGGATTGTGCTATGAATGTAGAGATGCAGGTTGTGTTCTCATATATGGGATCTTCACAAGTTTAAAAACACAAGTTTGGACTGGCTTAGAGGCATGGAAGGCTAAGCTTCTGCCCATGGTGCCAGCATCCCATAAGAGCACTGATTCGAGTCTTGACTGTTTCACTTCTGATCCAGCTCCCTGCTTACGGCCTGGGAAAGCAGTGGAGGGCGGCACATGTCCTTAGGTCCCCACCCCTACATGAGAGACCTGAAATAAGCTTCTGGTTCCCAGCTTTGATTGGCCCAACTCCAAGCCATTGCAGTAATTTGTGGAGTGAACCAGTGAATGGAAGATCTCTCTGTAATTCTGCCTTTGCGATAAAAACAAGTAAATTTAAAAAAAATTTTAAAACTTGATCTTGTTGGAGCTTGAACTCAGCTGGCTCATTTTCAACTCACTCAGTGTCCCCTCACCACATTTTTTTAAAAAAGATTTTTTATTTTATTTTTATTACAAAGTCAGATATACAGAGAGGAGGAGAGACACAGAGGAAGATCTTCCATCTGATGATTCACTCCTCAAGTGAGCGCAACGGCCGATGCTAAACTGATCTGAAGTCAGGATCCAGGAACTTCTTCCGGGTCTCCCACATGGGTGAAGAGTCCCAAGACTTTGGGCTGTCCTCAACTACTTTCCCAGGCCACAAGCAGGGAGCTGGATGGGAAGTGGAGCTGCCAGGATTAGAACCGGTGCCCATATGGGATCCTGGCGCGTTCAAGGCGAAGACTTTAGCCACTAGGCCATGCCCCCGGGGCCAACGACGTTTTTCATTGTGGTGGTTCCCCTTCTTCTTGAAATTCCTTACCTAGATCCCATTTACTCCTTAAGGCTGGGCAGTTGTTTCCAGGCCACACTTTAGGTAACTTTTATTATGGCACCAGAACTGTCATTGAGCTTTTGTATTCTTCTTCAAAGCCCTTATTTTCATGTATTTAAGGTTAATACTTGAAAAGTGCTTGAAAGGCTGGGTTGGAGTCAGTGCATCCCTGTAGGGTCTATTTTTCCCTAACAAGTTTCTCATTCCATAATGATTCCCTTAGCCTGAGACTATCACCTGGGAAATCCAGATAGATACATGATGTAACATTTTTACAGAGCTGGATGGGATCTTCATACACCCAGTGGACCATTGTTTAGAAATAAGGTCGCCTGAGGCTCAGTTGTTACCCTTTTCCCTTCAGCAGGTGGTCCAAAATAGACTGTAATCCTCTAACTGGTAAAAGATTAAGCTGGGATTAAGAATGAGAGATTGGGAATCAATTCTCCATGGTTCTCTGCACATCTTCAGTTTTTGTTCTGGACAATGTGTTCAAGGTTTGTACATTGAACAGCTTTGAAGGAGGCTCTTTCCTTGCACAATATGTCTGATTACTGTCCAGTACAACAGTTTAAAAAAGCCAGACAGGTTTGTTTGTAGCCAGCTCATGAAAGATCTGTGCTGCCATATAAAATACACATTGCACACATGCTATTGCCACCTTGATTATCTCCTGTCAAACCCATGCAACCCAGACCATGAGCACATATGGCTTGTGCTCTAGTATTTATGTGCATTGTCTGACCCAAGACTTATTAGGAAAGTATAATTTGCAGCAAAAATTTTAGACACTTGACATGTCTTGGCAGATATTTTCTCAGTTAAAACTTAACAGAACAATTGTTGGCCATGAGTCAGGAATGAAAAAAAATTCCCACAAGGCTGCCTTCTGGACCCCTGGCTTCGAGCTCTTGCACCCTTCAGATGCTCCAATTAACCCTGCTGTAGTCCCTCAGGACAACTGCAGTCAAGTCACCTTGAAGTGCCAATGAAATAACTGAGAAAATGGGGCCTTAGGGCCTGGCACCCCAAAAGGCAGCAATCAAGCTGACCTTTGGCCTGCACCCTCGTTGGGAGGCAAGCACAGCAGCTCTTCCAGTCATCAGCAGACTTTCCAAGGGCATGAGAGCAGTAAGTACCTCTGCCACTTGTGCTGCACCTTAAACCATACTGGTTGTTTTCCTACTGCCTAATTCTTAAGAGTCCTAAAACATTTGAAAAGTCTTCATTTTAATGCCTCTCACATGTACCTCCTTATACCTGATAGTCAAAGGAATATTGGTTTCCTGTGAGCTCTTTACCAAAGTACCCCAAGCTTACTGTAGAGCTTAAAAAAATTTACAAAGGCTGAATAACACAAGATGCCAGTTACTGTTTTGCTCTTCTAGGGCCTAGAAGTCCAAAGTCAGCTATGGAACCATAATTGAGGTGCTCTGCTGTGTGTATGCCTTCTTCATCTTCTGGGGCACTCACATTCTTTTGTTTTTGGTCATATCACTCCCATCTCTGCCTCTGTGGACACACCGATTTCTGTTTGAAATCTCCTCTACAAGGACTTCTGCGATTCTGTTTCGGGCCTCCTGGGATAACCTTGGAAAACCTTCAACCTTCCTAACCATCACCTCTACATTTCTGTCCTTTAAGGTAACACCAACCAGCTCCCGGGTTGAGCGTACCTTTTCAAAAATCTTTTTCATTCTACCAGCGTGTTAAAGCTTGTAGACAGATAATGAAATTTTAAGTTGTCACTTTGTTCAAGATTAGACCCCAACTCCCTACTTAGCCATAAATTATTTCTTTGTGACTACAAAGAACATGCAACCCAAATTCCCAAGGACAGTCTTGGGTAATAAGTATGTTTTCATTGAAGTTTCCTGGTTTGTTCAATTATATGGTCCTCCTGTTCATAAACAGCTTAAGGGTGACAGGTACAAGATATTATTCAAGCTATCATCTGAGTAAATCAATTTGCGATCCTAAAGGGCAGAAAGTTGTCTGAATCATATTTTTAAAAAACCCAAAGCTGCTGCTTTTTGGATATACACCCTGCTTACTCCTCAACTATCCCACTGCGTACAGACTTTCAGGTGTGCTCAGGCTGTGTGTTTGAGGACTGTGCTGAAACTCACCAGAAGCCTGGTTTCTCCTGAGGACACACTGAGCCCCAAGACCCAGGTTTGCTTGGCAGGTCAGGGAAGGACGAGCTGGCTCTTACTAGCTCTCTGCAGAGCCTCGTTGGAAAGCCATTCATGTCAGCAAACCGGGATGCTGCTATCTTCAGAGACAGTGTGAAGCCAAGAGAAAGGTGCATTTATCCAACACTTTAATAAGTGAGTGAACTACCTATCTTCCTATTTAAATAATAGATAGAAAAGTTTGAATGTAATATTTATTTGGTGAATTTACAGGTGAGATCATTTACAAAAGAGAAGATACAGACAGATGCAGCTCTCAGTGCAGTTTCAAATATTTTCACAACAGGCAATGGTCTGTGAGAATCTGGAATGCTAGTATTGAATGGCACATGCTTCAGTTTTGTTTTCCTACCCAACTCCAAGGAGAAAGAAGGGAGAAGAGTAGAAGAGAATGTCAGTGTTGATGTAAATACAGCCATGCAAATAAAAACTTTTTTTTAAAGCCAGAGGTCATTCAGAGATGTAGAACATTTCTGTATTCAAGAGTTTTCATAATTGGTGCATAATTTAAGAACAAAATGCAGAGATCTCGAATTTTCCATTAGCAATAATCATGTTAAACTGTCCCAACTAATGAGTTAGGGGCTTCCTCGATATTTTCCAGACTGGCTCTGGAAGACATTTGTTTCTAACAGTTTTTAAAAAGATACTATTTGTACACAAAATTGTTTTGGTTTTAACAGGATAAAGCACCCTTGTAAAGAGGGTAAAAATGCTCCTTTAATCCCATTAATGTAAACTATAAGTGGATTTTCAGTTTCAGAAAAGTACAACTGAAGGCTTGCTCTTTTAAAATATTCAGACTCAAACTTCACAGACCCCTTTAGAACATAACTCCTCCCCACCCGGTAAAGCCCAGCATATTTGTATAGACAGAAGGACAAGACAGTAATGACTGGAAATAAACCTTAAAGTGATTTCTAAGTAAGGGAAGAGTAAGGATAAACAAAAATCAGCCATCAGTACCCGTGGTGAAGACCTACATCCAAGCAGTTATTCTTCAGAGAATCAGGGCCGCTCGTGGAGAAAGCTCGTAGGTGTCCTCAGCTTCCGCGGTCCTCCAGCACAGGCAGCTGGGCGCAGCTCTCAGTGTTGTCACCAGAGCAAACACTGTGCTCTGGCTTCAGGACTCAGCTGCTTTTGAAACCGTTAGCTACTGTTTCTTCGGGAGACATTTAAGCTAACTGATACCCCTACATATCACACTGAGTCCATCTTTACTTGAGTTACACACACTGGCAACATGCACTTTCAAAAGTGCACTATTAAATAGTGTATTTTACAAAAATAGCCACAGGCAATTATAAACACACTTGCATTTCATCTTATCTGCTTGCCTGGTCCACTTCTCTGTTAATGACTCACATATCAGAATGTTTTGCTTCTGCAGAATTTACCACATGAAAACCAACTGTTGTGAATCAGAGGTATGGTACTATCTGACAATTGCTTAAAGGCTCTCTCAGTTTTACTGGAATCCCCATTTAAACTTTTTCCTTCAGAATATAAACTGAAAAGGAGTAACAATATAAAAAATTATTTTACAGCACTTACATTAAGAACATCCTATAAAATACTCACATATACATAAAAAACAATCAACCCTCCAGCCCACATTAAAAATAAAAACAAATCAACAAATCAAAGTTTTTATTTGCATGGCCACTTATCACTTGTACTCTTTGCAACTTTATTTGCATATCCCTTTTAAGAGATCTAAGCTTCTGTTGCACAGGAAATAAACGCTGCAACACTGCAACCTTCCTTCAACAGCCACGCCCACAACATCTAGACATGAAACAGATGTAAGGAGTGACAACACCACAAACGGAAATGTTAAGTTCCACCATTCAACAAAGTTCACGAGGTTCACAAGTGTCTTTAGGGTTCAGTTGAAGACAGGGTAAACTTAAAAAGAGGGTCAAGTCTTCTTTCCCCTTGTCTTATAATGTTGGTGGTTTCAAACCGTATTTCTTTGCAACTTCTGTCTGGGCATGGGCAGCATCACAAAGGGAATATAGGTGAGCCATCTCCATCTCGGACTTGGCCAAGTTAATAGCTTTGTTGAACATGTCAATGGCTTTCTCCATGTTTCCTCTAAAAGAACAAACATTTACATAGTTTCAGATTCCACAAGTAATTCAATACACTTAAGTGGTGCTACAGAAAATACGATCACTAACATTTAACAAATGTAATGAAATGTTTCTTTCTTAAGAGGCAATGGATGTAACTATTGCCACAAGTACTATGTACTTACATTGTATCTTATATTCTTTGTTTAGAGATAGGAACAGAGATAAGGAAATCAAAGGGTCTATTTAAAATCGGACTTGTTTGGTTCCTACATTCTAAATTTCTACTAAAACAAGACCTTTACAGAGCAACAATGTAGAATGTACCTTAAATGACCTATTTAATCTCCTACACCAAAAGAAAAAAGCTACGATTAAATTATCTAAAACATCGTTTTTAGAATTCGTGTTCAGATACTATAGGCAGCACTTGTGCTAAATGTCAGGATAAGGAAAATCAGCAATTTCCCTCATTCGCATTAACTTATTTAATAGTAAGATTTAGTATGATATGCCTAAAGTACAAGTAAAACATAAAAATAAAATTCCATCAGAGCATAGATCCTTAACCAAGATCTATAACACTTATAAATGCAGATTCTTATATATGTACATTATTCTAAAAAAATTCTATTTTGCTCTATCCTAATCCTATTCTAGTATAAATATTCTATTCATATTAACACAGTAGCAACTAAGAAGTAGTTTAGTATTTGCATGCTATGGGTCAGTACAGAATGATTCAAAAGAATCACAAGACTTTTTTGAGGCCTCCAGTTGAGCAGGGACAGGGCAGCGGGAGCTGGGTGATATCAGTTTACAAGAGCTATTCTCAGTTCCTGACAAGTGACAGACCAGGAGCAGCAATTCAGTGAAATATCGACTGAAAATCCTGTCTTCACAGCTTGGTTCACAATGTGTGCAACTTTGTTAACCTATCCAGATTGGGTGTGGGCTGCCATGGTGAGACTGGGGCTCAGAGAACCTAACAACACTGAAACATTTGGAAAACATAAAGCTCAGCACTAAGCCAAGAGTAAGTATGAGCAGCAATGACATTGTTAAGATGGTTTTTTATTATGATAAGTCCCACAAATATTGACAGCTGTCATCCATGGATAAACATTCACACAAAACAAGAATTTACAGGAATGTCAGAGTTGAAAAAAAAAAAGTATCTTACTCCAATTTTAAAGAAAACCCTCACAGATAACACTGCAGCTTGCCTATCGCTTGGCTGGTTGCTTCCTGGTAGTAGCAGGCACTCGGAAAACCTAGCCACCAGTCCTTATGTTCACACCTTCCCAAGCACATTACAGGGACTTTTTTTTTCCAACAGGAGTAACATAGGCGAAGAGGAGGAAACTCAACAACAAGTATTGTGAAAGTCCTAATTTCCCTTTCTAATGCATATGCTTAACATCTTGAAAAAATTTTTAATGATCATTGATGATGGTTTTAAAAATTGATATTGTGAAAAGAATGAAAAGTAAATGCAGAGCTGCCAAAAATTTCCTAAAACAAACTCTAGAAGTTACCTTTGCACTTCAATAGTTCCCATGGTTTCATATGCAAAATCACATTTATTGTCAATTTCAATGGCCTTGCTGATAAGTTCCAATCCTTTATCCAGATCTTGTTTCCACTGAAGCTGAAGTAAACTGCAAATACAAAAAAGCAGTCAGATATGACCATGGCCCAGTATTAAGTCAGTTTCCACATTCAGTGAATTTATTATTTAACTTGAAAGGAAAAACAAAAACTAAAGCAGAACATAATCAGCAACAAACCGTTTTAAATTATGTATTGCAGTCCACAATTCTTACTATCAAAAAAGTCCAACAATCTCTGTTGCGAATTTTCCTTCTATTTCTTATTTTTTGCTTTGTATAAATGTAAATGTTTTCTTAGGATAATTCAAGGACAAAAAGATAAGAAAACTGAAATTTAAACCCTTAGACAAAATGCTTACATTACGAATGAAAATACATATTAAGAAACCAGTCAGTTTATTCACTGGGACTTTTCTACATCCAGAAAAATTCATTTTATTACCATGTATGGAATTTAGTAGGTACAAACTGAGCCATATACATACCCTTTATGGACGTATGTTGTGGCATTATCTGGTTCCAACTCAATGCATTTATCATACATTTCATCAGCTTTACCGAACTGCTGCTGATCTGTTAATGCCTATGAGGGGAGATACTGCAGTTACATTACAGCAACTGGTGATCTATGTGGTTAAAAGCATATTGGTTAATTATTAAAATTTACTTCATTTGTCCCTTCATTGTCAGATGATGTTTTGGGGATGTAAGAAGATTTAAATTTCACATTTTTATTATTGGCACTTTTAGGTGGGGCTGTGATAAAACCTTGGGTAGATAGTTACAACAGCAAGTAAGCTGCAAAAAATAATGAATCTCACAGAATCACTCACCTCATTTATAAGGTGTCCTAGTAAGTCCTAAGGGAACTAGTAGTGTGAGAGTAATATTCATTCAGAAGGCTAAGTTAAGGTTTCTGCTATTATTGGTCATTTCCTAAAAATGGTTAGTTTTCAAAACCGCAGTTATGGCTATTTTAAAGCCAACCCAATAGCTAAAAATACATGAGACCAAAGCAAACAAATTCTAACTGAAAGTTGGTCAGGACCTAAACTCAAGCTTGGAGAGTTACAAGAAAGTTATGCCACATAACTATACTTGTCTGTGTATGTATGTGTGTGTATAATTACTGCATATAAAACAGATTGTCTTAAAAATGAAAACACAAACCAAAGAACATAAACGTTAGGGCCAAAAGAACATAAGGATACTGCTGAGAAGAGAGCTGCCATTAGTCAAACCTATTTTGAAGGTACATGCTGACTCGGAAATATGCAGTAAGGAAGCTCTGTGGTAGAATTGCTGCTAGCATTTTTTTTTAAAGCTATACAGTGGCCTTTGCTCTTTCAGTTATTTATGAACTTTGCACAAAAAGAGCCCTGAATGCCATGACAAAAAGGATGGTGCTACCATGTTCTAGTTTATCAAGTTTAATAAGCCTAAGTGTATTTGATACAAATGTCATATTGTTGAAATCTGTATGTCTTATTTTGATACATTTTAGAAACTCTTAATCTTAATACATACTTCTATAATTATAATTGGTTGCAGTCTGCAACCAATGCTCCATTTTTATTATCATGCTTTTCAAGAAATCATGAAGAACCAAGATTGAATAGACAAAATTATTTCTTACTAAGGTCAAATAACTTCAGGATTGGGTTTCGTAATTCAGAAGTAACGTGCACAACCTAACACAAATGAAACTTCCCAAATTCCCTGGCTCAAAAAATTAACATGCCTGAAGATGACATGAAGGAAACGCTTCAGTCTTAATCCAAGAAAGCTTTAAGAATTTTGGACAAACTAAAGAAAAAATCAGTTGTCACAGCTTATATTTATCTAACCATTTAAGAAGTGTGTAAAGAGAAAGAAAACTTTTCCCATGGACATTCTCCCTCTCTGTTACTCAGAGGTAATTTTCTTAAGATGATTTTACAAATCCAATCCAAACATGTATACCCTGTTTATGAGTTTAAGCTCTTAGTTTCCCAGGAGCCTCTTCTGCAGGGAACCAGGATCCTCCTGGGGCCAGGGGAGAGAATCCACAGAAGCACTGGGATGCAGCACATGCACACCGTTCCTCTCAGAAAACCACATTTACCTGGGCATATAGCGCATAGCCTTCAGCACACTTTGGAAATTTCTTTATGACTTCTTCAAAGCCTTTCATAGCTGCTTGAATTTGCGAAGAATTATTTCCTGTATATGCCTGGCGATACTGTTTCAAAAATTCAAACAGACTTGAGAATTAAAAATTCCTAGACTGTTAACATATTACAAAGGACCCACAAGATTATAGAAAAATGCCCAGAAAACTATGTAATTTGCTAACAAAGTGTTGAATCCAAAGAAGTTCCAAGGAAATATCTTAGCAGCAGGGATCCAAAGAGTATAGGACTACAGCTTCTGCATACAATTTAAGGAGTGCTAAAATATACGAACATTTTTTTAAAAAAAAATCATACTGTAATAGGAGTGTATTTATGCTTGCAACTCAATTTCTCAATTTCTAAAAGAAAAATTTTGTTAGGACTCTGGTTATAGAGTGACATCTCTTGCGAATATAGTTTACCTTTTTAGCTTCGTGTTTCTGAATACTAACAAAGATCTCCATCAAGAAGTGACAGAACAGTTATTAGCATCCTGACTATAGACTGTTTCCTCAAAGTGCTTTTGTCTTCACATTAGTTTATGGCAAAGAAGCAGGGAAATCAGTTCTATCTAGGTGAGCATCAAAAAAAAGGAGAGGTATCAAGAGGAACTCAAATACCCACAGAAATACAGGCCCTGCGCATTACTTCCTACATATACTTCCCCACTGTAGTCATCCTTCAGGGAAAAACAAAACAGGAGTACTTTAAAAAATTATGGAAAATGTGTACTATAATACGCACAGTATACATGGGGTCTTTGCTAATGCGAACCCAGGAACATGTGTGTAACGAATCGTTCCTTATAAAAGTAGTATGCCTTTACTTACAAAAATAAACATGTATTTTTGAAATTATTTTTACTTTACTCTCAAAAGAGAGTTGTTCATTCTTGAAATGTCCATAATAGCTGCAGCTAGGTCCAGTTGAAGCCAAGAACCCAGAATGCCAACTGGGATCTTCCGTATGGGTGGCAGGGACCCAACTAGTTAAGCCATCACCTGCTGCCTCCTAGGATGCTCATTAGCAGGACGGTGGGTGGGATGAGGAGCTGGGACCAAATAGGACTCCAATATGGGAAACATTTAACTATTTCCCTAAAACATTCACCCTGAAGTCCATTTTCCATGAACTTCTGGAAGGACCATCATAAATGGTTTTGGAGACAATGAAATATTTTTATTAACTCTGGGAAGCAAATATGACGTTTAGGAAATAACGAAAGAGAATTACATACCAGTGCAAAACACTTCTGAGCTTGTGCTAGAGCAGACTCAGGTCTTAATCTAATACATTCATCAAAATCCGCCACTGCTTCTTCAACTTGATCAAGCAGTATTTTCAGCTAAGGAAAAAAATAAGTACATACCATGTCTCTTCATTATCATAGATCAGTACAGTGTTCAGAATATAACAATTATCCTATATGGAATTATATCCACAAACAGTATACCAGAAAATGTTAGAATTTTGAAGGAAAGATTCTAAAACCATACCAGTGCCCAAGCTTTAAAAAACTCTTAAGAAACCCCTTTTCCTGGAAAAGTAAACATTTTAATTTTCTAATTTCAAACCAGGTTACACAGCAGCTAATTTTAAAAGCAAATCTTTTTTTTAATTTTGTTTTTTTATCTTTTCTTTTTTGTTGTTTTATTTTTTAAGCAAATCTTAAGATACTGCCAGTGAAGACACTGCCAGAGAGCATGACAATGTCAAGAGTTTTAAAAGGCAGCAACACTTACTAATACACGCCAAACTGACATACTATGCAAAACTCTCCCAAAGACATTCACCCCTTCAGTGACAATATGGAGAGCCCCAATTTCCCACCATAACATATTCCAACCAGCCATGAAGTCATGCTGTTCCGTATGAGGTGGTAATTGGGAACTGTTTCTTCACTATATACTATTATTAAAGAAACATACCTTTTACAAAATGGGATTTACATGAGACTTGAGAATTTATAGAACCCCGGCTGGTATTTTCTTAAAGAGTCTATGAAAATCACATGGTTGTTTCTAGCCTTAAATAAAATGCTTACTAAATGTAATTAATATTTTACTCATTGAAAACCAATGACCAAGGGAGCACCTAAAAAATAAACCAAACTAGCAAGCCATCATTTTTTGTTTTCTTATAATCAAGATGGAATCAAAGAAAAGTCAATCCAAACTCGAAGCAACTATATTATACTTTGTTCACAAAAATCAGAAGTGACATCACAGGGACGTGAGACGTCTTGGTCAGTGAGTGGTGTACCTGTCCCCGGTGGTGATAGACGTCTGCGTTCTGAGGATCCATGTCGGCGGCCATGTTGAAGTCCTGAGTGGACAGCAGGGGCTGCTGCTGCTGCATGTACATGCTGCCTCTCTTGATCAGGGCATTTGCTCGAAGCTACAAACCAAAGCAAGTGAACGTTAATCACTGCTTTCTTTTTCTTTCAAGAATAGCAGCTTTATGGATGTAATTCACATACTTTTACGGCTCACTTTTTAGAAGGGTTCATGTTGGTCACTTTTAGCATTTTAGTAGTTAAACTGCACATTAATCACCATTACCTAATTCCTGAAAGAAATGTCACTTTTCAGTCCCTCTTACCCATAGCCCCTGAAAACCACCCATCTTCTTTTTCTATAATCTTGTGTATTTTGAAACTAACAAATGAAATACTATATCATGTGACCCTGAGTGTGCCTTCTTTCACTTAGCACGTTTTCAAGGTTCATCTGTATTGTAGCATGTACCAGCACTGCAATTTTTATGGCTGTATATTACTCCATGGGAGAGATTTTATTTGTCCATTCATCAGATGATGGACATTTGATGGCTGCTATTCATGAACAAAGTTTATGTTGAACTCCAGCACTGCAGTATAGCAAGTAAAGCTGCCACCCGCATCCACTGGCATCCCACATGTGCACTGGCTTATGTCCTGCCTGCCAAACTTTGATCCATTCTCCCTGCTAATGACCTGGAAATGGCAGTAGAAGATGGCCCAAGTGTTGGGCCCTGCCATCCATGTGGGACTCCTGGTTTTGGCCTGGCTTAGCCCTGGCTGTTGCAGAAACAGAAAGATCTTTTGTCTCCCCCAGGCTCTGTGAAATTCTTTCAAAATAAATAAATCTTTAAAAAAGTTCATATTGAAGTACATGTTAAACTCTTTATCTAGAAGTGGAGTTACTCAATTATATGATAACTGAAATAAATTTAGGATTTTCAGGAACTGCCAACTCATTTCCAAAGACACTTTATCATTTACATCCACAACAATGCAGGAGGGCTTCAACCTCTCCACCTTCATCAATACTTGCTATTGTCCATCGTTTTGTTTGTAGCCTATTTTCCTGGTGATAGCCATCCCTGGGTTGAAGTTGTATCATGTAGTTTTTAATTTGCTTTTCTATAATGGCTAATGATCCGGGTATTTTTCATGTCATTACCGGTCACTTCTATATATTCTTCAAAAAAATTTTTTTAAAGCTTTGAACCATGTTACAATTCCATCTGGTCTGGGATTTCCCTACCTTCTCCCCCAAACTCCCACCCCTGATTTTCCCTATATTTTTACAATCGTATAGTCCCACATAAGCAGTCATAAGTGCATCAGTCTGTTGTTTAAGTGTGCCCTCAAACTGCTGATTTCTATACATTCCTTGGAGAAATATCTATTCAGATATCTGCTCATTTTTAAAGTGGGTTCTTTTTACTGTTGGTTTTCATGCTTTTTTTTCTTAATCTTTACTTCAGCCCCTTATCAGATAAATGACCTGTGAATATTTTCTCTTATTCTGTGGGAGGTTTTCTTCCATGCTGAACAGTGATACTGTCCTTTGAAGTGCAAAAAAGTTTTTAATTTTAGAAAGACAAAAGTATGTATTTCTTAAGTTGTTTCTTTTATGCTTTTGGTGTTTATCTCAGGAACCACTGGCAAATACAAAGTAACGAATATTTTCTCCTGTTCTCTTAAAAAAGGTTTATAAGTTTAGCTTTTACATTTAGCTCTGATTTTTTAAAAGGACTTATTTTACTTGAAAGAGTTACAGAGAGAAAGAGATTAATCTTCCATCCACTGGCTCACTCCCCAAATGGCTATTATGGCCAGAGCTGGTCTGGTCTGGTCTGAAGCTGAGACAGGAGTTTCTTAGCAAGTACAGAGTCCAAGGACCTGGGCAATACTCCACTGCCTTCATAGGCCATGAGCAGGGAGCAGGCTGGGAAGCAGAACAGCCAGGACTTGAAACAGCACCCACATGGGATCTCGTTGTATGCAAGGCCCCCGATTCATTCTGAGCTAATTTTTGTACCTGGCAAATAGTGTTTTTGCTGTTAAAACTGAAATCACGATAATGAGTCTCTTCAAGATTTTGTTCAAAGCAATACCTCATATATCTCAATGCTACATATATGAAACAAATAAGAATGCTCCCAATTTTACAACAAAAATATGAGATAGAATTGCAAGGGTCAGGAAACAAAATTAAAGGCAGTACTATGAAGGCAATCTGAAAATCTGATTTTCAAAGAAGTTTTAACAAATATTTAGGACTTAAGAACCAGAATGAATGTGAGCCAATTGAGACAAGCTGCAGTACCTGCTGGTGAGTGCCAACATCATGAGGGGCTAGCCAAGTCAGGCTGGGCTGCACTATCTACTGGCATTAGTGAGATTCAAGGCTGGGATCAGGCCTGATAGGAGAACCTGAGGAATTCCCCTGGTAGGCTGAAGCTTCTGTTGGTGAACACGAGAGCTGGGGCTGAAGGCAGGCCAGGCTGGTCAAGGCAGCAGCACCCTCTGGCATATGTGTGGGCTGGGTCTGGGAGTGGGTTGGCCTGAGTTAAGCTGCAGGATCCATAAGTGTGCACAAGAGTTCGATGCTGCAGCGAATGCCAGCACATGCAAAAACCAGGCTACAGGCTGGCCTGGTGGTTACCCTGACTAGGCTGTGGCAACCCATCAGCTTGCGTGAGAGATGGGGCTGGGTCAGAACTATTCAAGCAGTGGCATCTACCACTATTGTACATTCTACAAATGTTCTGGCTGGTACAGGTGAGAAACCAAACCTGACCCTGTGCTAGACGGCTTACATAGGTGTTTAGTCTTAGGTTACCCCATGAGAGGTTTCTTGAGGGACTCTCCCAACTAACTGGCTGAACTCAAACCCCAGCCACAGGAAAAAATCACAATATATGTGATCAAACCTTGGAACAAAAAGTAGTTAGTTGGTGAACTTCTATTTTGGTGCACTGATAAGGCACACATAATTCAAGACCGCCTTAATACTCAATTATAGAAATTCTAACATTCCTAACAAGACTTGGAAAATACAAGTGGAAAAGCTTTTGTGATACTTCTGTATTGTGATTTTAGAAGTGCATGTGTCAGGACTGGGCTTCCTCAGCTGCTGATGCCTGTGTGTGGGGGACATGACAGCCAGCTCATTTGGCCAGCAAAGGACATGGAGTACCTCACCCGAGCATGGGAAGTGGAACAGGCTGGACCACTCTCCTGGCCAAGCTTTGCATCATTTTCCTGGGTCTATGGAAGCACTAAGGTGGATTTTGTCAGCCAATAGACCTTGAAAAGATTTTCTTAACCTGGGTGCAACAAAGCCAACAATGTCTAAGAACTATCAAAACCATCAAAAGCAAAAGTAACACAAGAGGTTCTTCCTTCTTCCCCTCTGCAAACACAAGAGATTTAAAAAAAAAAAAAGCAGCAGCAGCATTTGTCCACCCACCTTCCTCCATACTTTAACCTTCTTCACCCTAATGGGAGACCCACAAGGGCATGATCCCTCTTCACTATGTAAACATAAAAAAATTAAAACCCCCAAATATCTAGGACTTAAAAGCACTGTTTTTTCTTCAAATATATTAATGATTATTTTATAAGTGAAAGAGGCCATAAAGGTCAATTAAATCAAGGAAGAAACTGGCCACAGAGATTATTAAGCCAGTAACAAAAAACAGTTAAATGGTAAACTTCTGTTTTGGTACACTGATAAGGCAAACATAATTCAACAGACTGCCTTAATCCTTAATTATAGAAATTATAACATTCTTAAAATGATATTAGTGTGGAAACAATAATATTACCCACTTTCCTGTAGCCCTTGACACTTTGTACTCTAATCAACTAAGCAAGATTTTTTAAAAAAAAAAAAAAAAAAGAATCCACTGTACATAGGTCAGACAGACAAAGGAATCTGGCAGCACAAGTAAATTTTCATGACACCAGGTTACATAGAAACCTGAGTTAGAAACCTGGGTAGGAGACCATCAACTAGGATAAACAATCATGCCAATAAGTGTTAAGGCTCATGACAAAACCCCTAGAGCTTCACATAAGACTTCAGACTCACTCTCAGGAAAGAACTCAAAATGGATGCAACTTATTTTACAAATAAATCATAAATTATAATAAAAAAAAAAAGAAAATGTAACATTCTTAACAAGACTTGAAAAATACAACTGGAATAACTTTTTTGTGATATTTCTGTATTGTGTTTTCAGAAGCTGTTTTCAAATACAGTATCTTTCCAAATACATCATAAATGAATTTAGTATTAATACACTATTTTTTAATTAAATGTATATAACAGGTCCCATATAATGGCTAATATTACTGCAGCACTGCTGTATCATCTTTACCACTACACAAATATAGTGCATGCAGCACAATAGGTAGTTGCTACAAGAGGAAGCTGAAATTTCCAGACGTTTTAAGAAAAAAATTCCAGAGCCAACACTATGGCACAAGTGGGTTAGGCCTCTACCTGAAGACACTGGTATGCCCCATGGACATCAGTTCAAATCTTGGCTGCTTCACTTCCACTTCCAATCCAGTCCTCTGCTACTGTGTTTAGGAAATAAGTAAAGTGTGACCCAAGTGCTTGGGTTTCTGCCAACCACCTAGGAGACCCAGGAGTACTGGACCTGGAATCCTGGCTCTGGCCCCTAGTTGCTGCAGCCATTCAGGGAGTGAACCAACAGATGAAAAGTTACCTCTCTGTCTCTGCAGTTCCATCAAACAAATAAATGAATCTTAAAAAAAATAGTATTTAGGTTTCAGAATCACAGCATCAACTAAACTCTGTGTGCTTCCCCATCTAAAACAAAACAGTCTATTGGCGAGATGTTAGCTGATATGCTAAAAAAACTTGCCAAATGTTATCCAAGGCACCGTATCTATTCATTTCTTCAAATACACACATACACACACACATCTTAAAATGTACCTTTACGTTAGCTTCTTTCAAACTGATAACCTTATCTAAATCTGGTTTGGCCGCATTGGCATTGCCAATAAGTAGGTAGAAGGTAGCTCGCAGTAATAATGCTTCTGCCATGTATCTGCCTTCAGCATCTATTTCTTTTGAGCATTCACTTATGATTTTATCATAATTTTCTTCTTCCATATACTGTTTGGCCTTTAAATATCCAGAACTGAAAATAAAAAGATAGTGGAAATTATTTACGAATAAAAAATCAAATGCCAAAACGTCACATTTGAGTATGTACGTTAAATAACTATCCACTTCTTGTGAAAAAGTTGGATCAGCCGGTGTGGGACTTGAGCTGGGAAGCAGAGGTTAAACAGATTGAGATTTTTTTAATGGAGACTGGAACTTTCTCAATGCCTTGAAGAAAAAGTTTTAAAAGAAAGCATTATGTGAAAAGATGAGATAATCAAAGATAAGACTAAGTTCAACACTTACTAAGGACCCTGTTTTATTTACCTTCACATCTGCAGCACATTGATAACACTTTTAATCACTAACAGAGGAGCAAAAAAGGGGGAAATAATCAAATTAGTTTAGTGTCAGAGAAGCCAACCAAGCCCTGTGATCAGAGCTGTGCTTTTATAAAGATTATTCTGGCTGCCATGTGGAAAATGGACTGGGTTATAAACATGAAGCTGGAGACAGGGAAATATCTGAAGAGTTCTCAAATAGAAGGCCTATTGTTTTCATCTAAAATAATGGACACATAATAACCAAAAACGCAAAGTTAGGGGCCAGTCTTGTAGCATGTAAAGCTGCTGCCTGCAACACCAAGATTCCATATGAGTGCTGGTTTAAGCTTCAGCTGCTTCATTTCCAATCTAGCTCCCTGCTAATGACTGGGAAACATAACAGAAGATGACCCAAGTATCTGGGCCACCCAGGCAGGAGACTCAGATTAAGCTCCTAGCTCTTGGCTTTGGCCCGGCCCAGTCCTGGTCATGGCAGTCATCTGAGGAAGAAAGATTCAGTAAGTATGACATCCAAATAAATAAATCTTAAGGGAGAGAAAGAAACAAAAGGTAAAGGAGAACTCCTCTATCAAATAGGACTTTAATAATACCTTTATTGGGGGGCATTTTAGCCTAGCTTTTAAGGCGCCTGCATCCCATCTCAAACTGCTGCACTGGCAGGCAGCAGGTCATTTCTCAAGTAGTCAGTTCTGTGCTCTGCATTAAGGAGAAGCGGACTGAGTTTCTGGTTCAATGCGCACTGAGCCATTGTGCCCATCAAATATTTGACATCTTAGTATTTGTTTCTCAAGTACAGTTTTCTAAAAGATTATGTTATCAACTAACTAAAATATGTACAGTTCAGTAAAATTATGTGTAGTGCCTTCCCTCAAAAGGTAGTCAACAATAAAAATGCTTCCTCAAACCCTACCCAGCTTTGCTATGCAAACACCATTATATTCTTTTTTCTAACTCATTTAAAACATACCTTCCCGACAATATTATTAGTCCTTCTCTTAGAGATCTAGCCTCAACAGCAAAACACAAGTATTGTTAAAAAACAAATGGATAAATAGGCCAGATAGCTTATGCATTACCTTCCATCACTAGACTGCAAGCTGTGAACACAAGATCCTGAACTTTACTTTCAGCTTTTACTCAATGAAATACAGGAAGCCCAAATACTGGAATTTTGCTAGGCAACCAGAACTTAGAAAAAGAATTCATTCTTTGGGTACTCTCAAGAAACTCCTGGCTCCTTGCTTTGGATCAGCTCAGCTCTGGCTGTTGAGGCTACTTGGGGAGTGAACCAGTAGATCTTTCCCTCTGTCTTTCCTTCTTTAAATGTGCCTTTCCAGCAAAAACAAAAAACATTTTTAAAAGTTTATAAATGGAAATTTTCCCTGAGTTAAAACATTTGAAAGTTGTGCAGTTATTTCAGATTGGTATTTGTATTCCAATACAGTCAACCTCCTGACTTGAGAATGTCATGAAGGACTGAAGCAGCAGGCCTCCAGGCTGTAAACCTCTGAGTCACTGGAAAATTCTCAAATGTTAGTGAAGCATTTTTATCTTAACAATAGCATTACAAAACTTTATTATAGGTGCATGCATATATACAAATATTTTTCCTGAGATCTTAGAATTCACTTGCATTATAGAGAAAACTCATAGCAGCAAAACAATCCATTAAGCAGACACCATGCTTGACACACTTACTTTTCTTTCACTTCTAGAGCCTCCCCTTCCTTGTCTTTATCTTCATCAGACTTCTCTCCTTTAAGCATGGGCTGAGAAATAATATCATCCGTGAAAGAACTGAAATAGGATTTGATAAACTGTGGAGATGGCATCAGAGGTTCACGGTTCTGAAATTTAATCATGGGAGTGTATCAGGATAAGAGACCAATAACCAAAGTAGGCACACTGTATAACATAAAAATGACTACTGTAAAACTGGAATCCATTTTCAAATAACTGAAGATTAAGTTCCAAGTTATATATGACAGCAGCAATGGTTAAACTGCCAGTCCCAACTGTTCAAAGCAGGCTATAAATAAGCCCTTCTCCTCTCCAAATATAGGACCATGTCTTACACAGCTGCTACAAACAGAGCTCATATAGACCATATGAGCTTTCACCTCAGGATCTCCAAGTCACAGCGAAATTGTATCTTTTGTGTTTCTTCTTTTTGCCATGTCATCTGATTCATAATTATGGGAATATTTTGTTTCTCTTTTTGATGTACAGTTAGAGTGATACATTTTAATACAGAGGGAATCATATAGCCAACAAGCTCTCATAAGAAATTTTGGATCTTTTATTCACAAAATTGAACCCAATGAGTGAAATTTTTATAGAAAAGTGACCGAAAGAGACAGAGGCAAAGATAAGGCACATATGCATGTGCACTCCCATCTGCGGGTTCACTCCCCAAGTGCCCACAATGACAGGGTCAGACTGAAGTCAGGAACTGAGAACTCATCTCCTGCATGTGTGGCAGTAACCCACTCAGTGAGCCATCACAACTGCCTCTCAGGCTCTGCAGTTGTAGGCAGCTTGAGTCAGAAGTCAGAGTTGGGTATCAAATGCTAGATAGCTCAATACGGGATGTGTAGGACATTGTGACCCTGGAAGGTCAGCAAGCACAGGATTGCAGATCATTGGACAGTATTTGCATGAGAACAACCAAAGGGCTACCTTTGTATAAACAGCATGTAAATGAGAACACCCGGAGGAATATACAAAACAAAAGGAATTCCAATCAAGAGTACGAAAACAGTAGATGGGTTTTGTTGATGAGCTCAATACTTCCTCCCCTACCCCATACGGACTCTCAGTGTATAAAGTCTGAGGCCCCTAATAAACTTCGGCTTTGACAATCAGTCAGGGTCCACGCGTGTTATTATCGGCTCCGTGCACCAAATCCATCGCTGCAAGACAGTGACAAGGATGCAGGCACCTAAATGTGCTGTTGAATTTTACAACTCATGAATAATGAACACCACTGCTGTTATATTGGTAGATTTACTATCCTTGCACTTGAAGCAGAAAAAGGGAATCTGACTTTGTAAGAAAATAGTCTGGAAGAAAATGGAAAACAGGAAAGTCCATATTTAAAAGTTTGTATTTGGGCCTGGTGCTGGGGCCTAGCGACTAAAGTCCTTGCCTTGAACGCACCAGGATCCCATATGGGTGCCAGTTCTAACCCCAGCAGTCCCACTTCCCATCCAGCTCCATGCCTGTGGCCTGGGAAAGCAGTCAAGGGCGGCCCAAAGCTTTGGGACCCTGCACCCACGTGGGAGACCCAGAAGAGCTCCTGGCTTCAGATTGGTGCAGCACCAGCCGTTGCGGTCACTTGGGGAGTAAATCATCGGACGGAAGATATTTCTCTCTGTTTCTCCTCCTCTCTATATATATCTGACTTTGCAATAAAAATACATAAATCTTTAAAAATAAATATAAAATGGCCCAGCACAATAGCGTAGTCGTTAAGGTCCTCGCCTTGAACTTGCCAGGATCCCATATGGGTGCCAGTTCTAATCCCAGCAGCTCCATTTCCCATCCAGCTTCCTGCTTGCGGCCTGGGAAAGCAGTTGAGGATGGCCCAAAGCCTTGGGACCCTGCACCCATGTGGGAGACCCAGAGAAGGCTCTTGGCTTTGGATTGGCTCAGCTCTAGCTGTTGCACCCACTTGGAGAGTGAACCATCAGATGGACAATCTTTCTCTCTGTCTCTCCTCTCTGTATATCTGACTTTCCAATAAAAATAAATAAATCTTAAATAAAACAAAAAGTTTGTATTGACTGAAGTTTGTGCTCTCTTCTGAAAAAGACTCAATTTGTCTTAATGAGGGATAAAATAAATAAATCTTTTAAGTTAAATGTTTACCTATCAAATGACAAATATGTCTAATTAGATTTTTACTACAGAACGAGAAGAACTAAAATAGCGGAAGTGATTCATCACTCTAAAAGCTTGAGTAAGAAATTTCAAGTAACAGTTGAAGCTGGGTAAATCATTAATGCTTTTTAACTTTGTTTCAAAAGAAACACCTTCCTGTTTTATATAATCATAAGTTTTTAAATTAAGATGTTACAAACTATTGAATTTTTAGTATCTAAAATACAGCATTAGAATCCACTTCCACCATTTACCAACTATATAACCATTATCATTTAGCCTCCAGTTGTTTCTTCATCTTTAAAATGGGAGTCAAGGGGCAAGCACAATGGCTCAATTAGTTAATTATCTGCTTGCAAGCAATGGCAACCCACATGGCCACCAGATTGTGTCCTGGCTGCTCCACTTCCCATCCTGTTCCCTACTTACAGCCTGGGAAAGCAGAGGAAGAGAGTTCAAGGATGTGGGATCCTATTCTCCTACAAGGGAACCTGGGAGGAATTCAAAGCACGTGGCTTCAGATCAGCTCCAACCATGACAGTCATACTGTGAGTGAACCAATGGATGGAAGATCTGTCTCTTGTTCTCTCTGTAAATCTGCCTTTCCAATAAAAGCAAGCAAATCTTTAAAAAAAAATTACTACTAATAAAATAAAATGGTAGTGGAAATACTTATCTTATAGGGTTATTACAAAAATTAAAACAATACTACTTTTGAGACATATTCTGTGATTTACAAAGTGGCACACAAACATTAGAGAATATAAATGGTTGGGGTGGGTGTGTTATGTGACAGTTAAGGTGCAACCTGGGATCCTACATGGCTAACAGGAGTGCCTAACTTGGAGTCATGGCTACTCCAGGTCCAATACCACTTCCTGCTAATCTGCACGCTGACCTGAATGGTTCCAGGTTCCTAGCTTCAGCCTGGTGCAAGTTTACCTGTTGCAGACATTTGAGGAGTATGTCTTTTTTCGATGAGTTTTTAAAAGTACTTCATATATTGGAAGATTAAAAAAAAAATTGGCACCAAAACAAAGGAATTTCTAATTTCCATTTTACACATATTTTCTGAGGTTCCTTTTTGTAAGAGTCTCTTGCTAAATTGTAGTCCTATTAAGGCAGAAGCATGACTTTCTTCATCCAAAATGTGCAACACACACTGTACCAGTATATAGCACCGCTATCACCTTTCCCAAAATAAATTACCTTGTATTTTTCTTTGGCTTTCTCTTTTCCAAGAAGTTTAAGAACTTTATCTGCTAACAGCATGCTTTGTTGGTTTTGGAAGCCTTCTAATATACACACAGCAGTGACATCTAGAAATGATGGAAAACAGTCTGAGATTACTGGAAAGCTGATTGTCATCATCAAAGAGACACAATGAACTACAGAAAGCAACAACATTACACTCATGGCTTGAAGACACATCTGCTTTTGTTTCTAATAAACTGATTCTCAGAACTTTGATTTTATACACTCTGCCAACCTCAAAAAGCTCAGAAAGTTATTCCATTTCTCTGGAGTTTGTTTTCCTAACACATAAAGCAAAAAAGGCTATACTGCATGATTTCTGGTGTTCTTACTGCCCCAACATTCTATGCATAGCCAATGAAACAAGCAATTTAGGAATGTTCTCTTCCAGCCAACACAGTGTGGCCATCTCACATTTGGTCTTTTGTGCACATCTCTGGATTAGTGTTTGTCTCTAACCCACCTTGCCACAGAGCTCTCAAAATAAATCCATTTCAAAATAGGACTTCTGTTTCGTGATGTCACAGTGGCTTGAAATTAAAATCAAAAACAACGGTTCCTTAACCTTTCAATTTTAACACACTCAAATAATAGCTGTCCCTATTCTTTTGTACTAAATCCCACAACTCCACATCCTTCTTCTTCCAAGTCAATTTACCATCACATTTTCCTGATACAACCTTGGCTAGCGGCATCATCAGTGCTGTTTTAACCAATTTAGGTTAAAAACTCTAACTTCCTCTCCCCAATTACTATCTACTTGTAATTTTGAAGTCTAGCTCAAAATTCAGAATTCCCTTTGCTAAAGCAAAAGTTCTACCCACTACCAAAATACACATTATCACAAAACCTCAGCTCTTGCTAAAACTCTATGAAGCACTTTCATTTAGTAACTTAGATCTTTAAAAGTGTTTTCCCTTTTTTTAAGTTTTGGTTTTTTTGGAAAAAAAAAAGGTTAAATCTTATTATAATAACTTTAAAGCAGATATATGTGTAATGGAAAGCACTTGTAGACTACAAAAATTACACTGTGGGTTAGCTCTGTCACTTAGATGAAATGTAGAAGTCAGTGGTTTATGCTCTAGTTCTAGTTCTGGAAGCAAAGATGGTCAATTAAGAGTTCACAAAATATTGTATCTATTGAGAATGACAGATTCACTTTAATGCTTTACAACACTTAGTTTCCAAATGATATAAAGATGTTTTCAAATATGAGTGTTAAAATACAAATGTCTTCTTCAGTAATTTGCCTCAGTTATTTCACATTTATACTGAATATTAACCAAAAATAGATAAAATTTAGAAACTACCACTATGATCTTTTTATTTATGGAACTGTATCAATAATTGCTAACTACCAAGTTAGCATGTATGGCATATAAATGCCAAATTGTAATTTTAATTCCATAGGCAGAGCAGAACCAATGCTTAAGTATATGAATTTCAATTTAAACTGGAAGACACAGTCTCAATAGGATAAGAGCTTCACTTTTATACCCGTATCAATGTTCATAAGGCAGAGCTTCATAAGTTTATCAATGACTACACAGCTTTAGCAATTTTTCTGATGTAAAAAGAAAAATACTCTCACCTTCTAAACATTCCTTCTTATTGTCTAGCTTCTCGTGGGCTTTTGCACGTCTAAAGAGAGCTTTCACATATTTGGGATTAAGTTCAACAGCTTTTGTACAATCTTGTGCCACCTCTTTCCATTTTTGCTGTAATTTAAAGTATTAACAAAAAGTTACACTAAAAACAGCAAAAAAGTATTCCCAAGCTAGAGCTGACATCCAAGATACTTATCTGTAAGATAAGCAAACAAATTTGGAAAATTAAACAACAGACACACTTAGGCATTCCTTTTACCTCCAAATTTATAAATGTACCTACAATTATATGCTTTCACCATCTCTTTCTTCCCTCCTGTAAAACCAAAGAAGCACCACTGTCATCAAAGGCCTACTCTCCCGGAAGTGGCCTGGATCTTTATCCTCTCCATGTCAAGGATGTCAGTGCTTTGTTAGCTTTTCTCTCAGAAATCTTTTCTATGAAATCACTCCATGTACTTGCTCTTATATTTTCATCTTTGAAATCTTTTAATTTCCCCCTCCAGATACCTCCCTATGCTCTTTAATGTCATGTTCCCAGACACCAGGCTTCTCATTTCCTCCAGCCTTACTAGCGGCTCTTCTCATTTCCTTTGTTCAGTTCTTCTACCTCATCTCTACATGCAGGACTACTCAAGATCTCAACTTGCTCCTTAAATGAGCACATCAATTATCTGGTTTTACGCAATACCTAGTATTAAATAACTCCAAAATGAACTTCTTTAGCCCAGATCACTATCCTAAAACAGACATTTCTCAATTCAGCTGTCTCCTTCCTTCCTCCATCTACCCTTCTCCACTCACTGGTATTAAAATTCTTGTTTCACTTTACCCTTCACATTCATCGCAATAGTAGCTTCTGCTGATCAGCTTCTTCCTATCTCACCTGGGTTACTGCACTATCATTACTTGTTCTCACCGCCAACACTTGTTCCTCATTTCAGTATATTCTCACCAGAACAATGACACTATATTCCCACCTTGCTTGTAACCCTTAAATATTTCCCACTATGCTCTAATCAAGTTCAAAATTTTTAATAATACCTACAAGGGTTAGCCTGATCTGGTCACTGTCTACCTTTCCAATTTAATCTCTATACTCTAGGAACTTTTGTACTCCTTTAAATCTAACTCTTTTCTGCATCAGAGTGATTATACACACTATCGCTTCTATTTATAGTCTCCTCTCCCTGTTTTGTAAGCCAACTACTGCGTAACCATACAAAGAATGAAACAGATCTGCATTTGATAATCTGAAAGGCTATACAAGGTGTAGTGGCAACTGGAAAATTATTTCACATATAGATATCTAATAGAAACTCACCAAGGGAGTTTTTCCTTTTCTCCTCTTCATATGCAACTATTGCATATGGAGAGAAAAGTTGAAAAATGGGACAAAGTTACTAAAAAAATTTAATGTTATACATTTTATAAAAATCAAAATAACATGTAACTCTGGAGCATAAATATGTAATCAGCAGAGATAAAATTGCTTCTAAAGTATTGTAAATGAAGGACATAAGATGAAAATCATAAAATTTCAAAATCTGTGTTGACTAGCATTAACTGAAACTTTAAGCAAATAGAGAAGAAAAGGAACAGAAAAACACAAGCTAGTGTACATACCAACTGCTCAAAGGCAGCAGCTCTGTTCTGATAAAATGTGGAAAGGTCGACATTCTTCTCTGTAGGACACAAGCTAATAGCCTCTGTGTAGCACTGAATAGCATGTTCATATTTTCCTGCTTTAAAATATTTATTGCCTTTGTTCTTTGCTGCTTGGGCTCTATCAAGAGAATTCTAAAATAGAAAGAAACAATTATTAAATGCTAATCAACATTTAAGAATAGACTCCAATTACAAAATTTATGTAACAAAGTCATAAAAGAAAAACGAAGATACAATGATTGCAATATGCTGCTTTATACAGTTATCTTCATGGGACAAATTCTCAGTAGTAGGACTGCTGTGTCAGAACGCTCATGCAGGGCATGTTTGGGGTAATGTTAAGATGTCACTTTGAATACTTGTATCCCATACTGGAGTGCCTGGTTTTGAGTTCCAGTTCCACTTGATTCCAGCTCCCTGCTAATAATTCAGACCTGGGAGGCAACAGATGACTTAAGAAGTTGAGACCCTTCCATATACACAAGGACCTGGCTGTGTGGGGAATTTGGGGCATTAACCAACAGATGGAGTATCTCTTGTTCTCTGGTTTTGTGGCTTTCAAATTAAAACTAAAATAAGAAAATAAAACTAATTTACTAAAATGTTCACATTTTTAAATTTCAAAAACACTTAGATCATGTATCTTATATAGAAGATTGCAATGTACACGTTTCCTTTTTAAGACTTTGCTTTTATTTTGAAGGTTAAATTACAGAAAGAGGATACAGAGGTATTCCATCTGCTGTTTTACTCCCCAAACAGCCACAATGGTTGGAGCTGAGCCAACATGAAGCCAGGAGTCAGGGAGCTTATTTTGGGTCTCACACTTCCTCTGCTGCTTTCACAAGCTATTAACAGAGAGTCTGATCAGAAATGGAGTCTTGGGGACTTGAACCCATATGGGATGCTAATGCTATAGGAAGATGCTTAACCTGTTATGCCATCATGTTGGCCCCAATGTTCATCTTTTTAAATTTCAGAAACACTCCGACTTTTCCATAAAAGCTGTAGTGCTTTAAGGTATCACTTCTGATTCTTGCCGCATTTGATGTAATGACTGTGTTTAATTTATGCCAGTCTAATGTGTACAGGGTACTTCACAAAACTTGGTATTTTCTGTCAACATTGTCTGATTTTAATAAATATGGGACTATGTATGAGACAATTCATATACGTCCAACAGGTGAGCATAGACAAAATATAAGCAGATGGAGCTGCCCCTACTGATAATCGAAAGATCTGGAGCTCAGAATCTCCTACTTATTTAAAACAACAACAACAAAAAAAGACAAGACGGCCACTTTTTCTTGCATTTGCTCCTCTCACCCATACTCATTTCAGTCTTTCTTTCCATTCCATTTCTGTTTATCTTTTGTTTTCTTTCCTTAGTCTGACTATTGCTGTAGTGCTTTTTAAATAGTATGCATAGATGATTTGTAGAAAATTAAGAATCTGACATAATACACAGTTACTTTACACTATCTGGCTTCAACAAGATAAATGTGTATTTTAGGCGGGGGGATGAAAACAGCCAACAAAAGCACCAATGCATTAATAAATAATAAATAAACAAGTATCTTTCATGTGTTGACAGCTTTAATTATCTTCCCAAAGCAGGAAATACAACAGCAACCTTGAAACACTTTTTAAGGATATGTATCAGGAAAATGAACATATGCCAGGACAAAACCGACAAACACGCACAAAATAGCCACAATAAAAGACAGTGGGCTTTTAGCCCAGTGGTTAAAGTGTCTGTTTTGCACACGCACTGCTTGGGTTCAATTCCTGGCTCTGGGTTCTGATCCAGTTTCCTAATACTGTAGACCCTGAGACACAATGGAGCAGCAGTCAGGAACTGCATTCCCAACACCCATTTGAGTGACCTGGATTAAATCCCCAGCTTCTAGCACTCATCTACTATGCACAGCTGGGGACTAAACTAGCACATGGGAATGAACACTTTCACTCTTTCTGTGTCATTCAAATATTTTATTTGAAGATAAATTTGTCTCTCCGCCCCTCAAATATAATTTATTTTAAAAAAATGAAGTTTTTGGTTCTGGTTTCATTCTCTCTGCTCAGCTCTCCCAAATATTGCAGGCATTTACAGATTAAACCAGCAATAAAGGAAAGTGCTTTCTCTCTGCCTAATTAATTAATTTTAAAAAACTGCTTACAAAAGCAAAATCAACTAATAACAGATACATCCAAATTTAACATCAAAAAACTGAAAGTCAGCTCTCTTGTGGGATTTTCAAAAATAAAGTTGTTTTTAAAAGCACATTAATTAAATCTTGAAAGATGATAAAAAACAAAATTAACTTGGTAACTAGACTGTGAAGCAGAATCAAGATAGCGGAATAGGGTGAGGACTTGTTTAAACAGATGAAGAAACATGAAGCAGAGAGGGCACATTCCAGGAAACAGGAGAGGACAGACTGCCGGCAGAGGGGCACCTCGAGACTGATGGACGCAGGAAAGCAGTGGTGAGACAACAGTGTGGTGTTGTAGTGATCAGACATCCCAGCAGCATTCCACCAGCAGTGATCTGAAGTGCACCAGCAGCCAGAACTCCACCAGCAACCAGGTGGGAAAGGGAGTTAACTAGGAACTCGGGAGGTGAACCCAGACAAAGAACTGCCTGTTCTGCTGCTTTGTTTGACAAGTAGCAAAGACAGAACAGCAGATTTCAAACAGGTGGTATGGGAACAGGGTGGATTTCACAGCCCAAACCCCAGTAGAGCCGAACCAGGAGCCATCTTGTGTAGGGAGGCAAAGGCTATGGGATGGGACTGTGCATGTACCAAGCTGGGAATGAGCTCATTTCAGACTCAGTGAATTGCAATGGCCTGATATCCTATAGGTTCTACCCAAAATCGGTCCAGGTAGCACCTAGACAAAACAGCCAGCAGATCAAGAACTCTGAAAGTGGCATATTAGTATCCATTTTGCATAGTGTGGCAAAGGCTTTGAGAATGCAGGGAGCAAACTCACTTAACTCAGTGCATTGCATTGGTTCCACACTGAAAATAATACCGACTCTGACATCTTATGATTCAAAATAGGTCCGTGTGGCCCTCAAACCTAACAGCCAGCAGGTTCCTGCAAAATCAGAACCACCAGGCCCAGCCTGATAGCATAGTGGTTAAGATCCTCGCCTTGAACACGCCAGGATCCCATATGGGTGCCAATTCTGATCCCGGCAGCTCCATTTCCCATCCAGCTCCCTACTTGTGGCCTGGGAAGGCAGTCGAGGATGGCCCAAAGCCTTGAGACCCTGCACCCGTGTGGGAGACCTCGAAAGAAGTTCCTGGTTCCTGGCTTCAGGGACTGGCTCAGCACCCAGCCATTACGGCCACTTAGGGAGTGAATCATCGGATGGAAGATCTTCCTCTCTGTCTCTCCTCCTCTCTGTACATCTGCCTTTCCAATAAAAATAAATAAATCTTAAAATGCAGTGGAAAGTTTCAATAATAGAATGAAGGAGGCAGAAGAAAGAATTTCAGAAATGGAAAATATTTCTGGTCACAATCAGGACACAATAAAAATGGAAAGCAGAGCTGGGTCAAGCTAAAAAAAGTATTTAAGAATTAAGAGACACCATTAAAAGGCTAAAGATGAGAGTTATGGAAGCCCTAGAAGGTACAGAAAGAGAATCTGGGTTTAAAAATATAATTAATGAAATAATTAATGAAAACTTCCCTAATCTGGAGAACAAATTGGGAAACGACATCTAGGAGGGGCACAGAACTCCTAACAGGGTTCACCAAAAGTGATCTTCACCATGACACATGATAATCAAGCTCTTTTCAATCGAACTTTTTCCTTAAATGTACATGTGAAAAGAAAATCAATTGACATATAGAGCAATGCAAAGTAAAATCACAGCTGACCTCTTACAGGCCAGAAGTGAATGGAGTGACATATTTCAGTTTCTAAAAGCAAAATGTTGTCAGCCCAGAATAATGGGCCCAGGAAAGCTTTCCTTTGTCTTTGAAAATGAAATAAAATTCTTTCATAGTAAAGAAAAGGTGAAAGAATATGCCCCTTCCAAACCTGCCCTATAAATGATACTTCAAGGTGTTCTCTTGACAGAGGAGAGGAATAGCATCCACCAAAACCAAAGGCAAATGTGAAGAACATCCTAGTAAAGTAAGAACAGAAGACTAAATCAATGAACAACCCATTGCTAAATGCCAGGAATATATTACTAATCTACATTAACCCTGAGTGTAAATGGTTTAAACTCAGACAGTTACCATTTAAGGCTAAGCACAAAAATAAAAATAGAAATGTACAACTTCTCTCCACCGAAAATAAGCCCTGAAAGAAGAGAAATGACCAATATAATAAAAAGCAGGGAGGGCAAAGGAAGATACTAAAAAGCTGAGTCAGTACAGTAGCTACCACCAAGCATGTCAAAACCAAGAAAGGAGTGAATAGTTTAGATCCCAATATTAAAAACAGAGATTTTCAAATTGTTTAAACTAAAAAATGCACCTGCTGCCAATACAGCATATCCTGAAACAAAATGACATATAAAGATGTCAAAGATAAAGAAGTCAAATGTTAACAAAAAATCCCAAATCAACCAAAATACCATTGAAAAGTATCACAGCACAAGATTTATTTATGCAAATGTCAGATTTACAAGACAAAGATCTTCTGTCCACTGGTTCATTCCCCAAGCGACCACACAGGTCAGAGCTGAGCTAATCCAAAGTCAGGAGCCTGAGTTCCTTCTGGGTCTCCCAAGGCTTTGGGCCAACTTCTACTGCTTTCCCAGGCCAAAAGGGAGCTGGATGGGAAGTGGAGCAGCCAGGACACAAACCAGCGTCCATATGGGATCCTGCTGCATGCAAGGCAAGGACTTCAGCCACTAGGCCAATGTGCTGCACCCACAACTGGATAATCATAAGTTTCCGGTTCTGATAAACTTTTAAAATAAATTCTAGTACCTTACAAATTAAACAGAAATGAAAGGAAAATACTGCTTTCAATTTCTTGAAGATTTCAATGCTCCTAAGTCACTGAGAATCTTAACACCCCAACTCCAATAGGAATGGTTTAGGTTGAAAACAATGTAGCATATTAAATGCATATAACTGGCACAGTTGACAATAACTGTG